AAGCACTGAACTATTTCTTCAGCCCACCATTTGTTTTTTTAAGTCTATATGTTCCCTTGCCTGATCTGATCCTAATTTTTATTACCACTTTTATGTTGTCCCAATTAGCTGCATTACAGGATAGCGTTCACTTAACATGTAAATATCAGTTGCCTTTACTGAGAATGAAGTGAAACAGTATACATTAAGTACACAGCATGTATCACGAGGGACCTGATAGCTTCATACATCTTCTACCTTTTTAATGGAAGGAATCTTATAAGTAACATTAGAGAGCCCTTTAATCATTATGATTTCAAATGTGTTACACACTTATGTTAGATTCTCTATGATTTTAAGAACTGTAAGACCCTGTTGGCTTGGTTTAGAGAAGTGGTGCTTTGAATTTCTGTTTTCTGACTTATTTACACGAATGGGGTGGCATTATATTAAAATGCTTGAGGCCTCCCTCAGTTGTGCTTTGGATATAATCTCTGCTATTTTGCAAGCATCTATTTATCACTCATGACATATGAGATACAAAGCATAGTTGAATGAAATGCACAGAAAAATCCAGATTAAAGGCTTGCTTTGGTGAGGGTTTCTATTGAAATGAGGCTATTGGTGGATTTCTCTTTGCATTCTCGTCATGCTCGGGTGAATTTCTCCCTTTGGGACTGTAGGTGGCAATATCAAACCAGAAATGCCCACATGCAACTGTCCAATGCTTTCAGCCTTCAAATTGGATGATTACATATAGAAACCTGATTTAAAACCTGGCAAAGTGTTGCCTGAATTTGAATATGTAATCAGACACCAGCTTTGCCGGGCCCCCATATTTACATATATTTGAATGACTGCCTCTGTTTTCTGTGATCCACTGGGTGAGGTCTTCTGGGATTTCCCCTCTCTCTCCCCTGCTGACTTGCTAAGGTACCTTTTCTGGCTGTTCTTGGGAATAACTGCTCCCTTACAGAAATACCCACTACTTCCCCAGGCTTTACCTGTCCGCCCTTTCCACGAGGGAGAGGATCAAAAGAGAGAGCCCAGAGAGGAGGGAGTGAGCACTAACACAGCTCAGGAGCTCATTTCCATTACCTTTGCAATGACTGCCCTAGATCCCACATAGTTGTCTCCTCCTTCATTTCCCTCACCTCCTGTTTACTAGATTGCTAACAATGACGAGTTTGAGAAAAACCCCAGAGAACCAGCCATTTGCTCTGTGGACAAGGGAGACAGGAAACAATTCTAACCCTCAGTCATGTTTTGTTTGTATAGTTGAGGAGTCTGAACTAACCAGTTACACACAAAAAGTGGTGAGACAGAAAAAGCAGAGAAATCAGGTGTCATGGTGGTGTGTGTGTGCCTATAATCCCAAAGTTTTGGTAGGTAAAGGCAGGAGAATCGGGAACTGAAGGCTAGCATGAGCTACAGGAGACCATTTCCAAACAAACAGAAGCAAATATTCTAATATTGGGGACTGGGAAAGGGGGAGGAAAGGGATAGTTCACCCCAAAGAAAGCAGTGCTCTTGTAATTTTTCCACTGCCTAGAAGTCAGTGCTTTCCATTCCTCATGCCAAGGTACCACAATTCTAAAGAAAGGCTGTTGGAGAGGGGTTAGGATGGGGACGAAGGATCTTTGACCCTCTGCTAGGTTAGGGTTGTGTTTATTCAAGTTCGAAGTCTGCACAGAGATTCCACAGAAGCAATTTTTGACATTTCAAAGTGTGTGTGTGTATACGTGTGTGATATACAGTAGCCCAAGTGTAGAGGTCAGACAATAATTTTCAGGAGTTAGCTCTTCTTTTCTCTGTGGGTTTTGGGGATTGAACTCAGGTCAGTTTTAAGACCCCCATTCCAAGTACCTTTACCAACTGAGCTGCCTTGATGGCCCTAGAAACACTCTTATATGAATTAATTAAGCTCTCTAGCATTATTATGACACAGGATAGTTATCTATAGCTTTCCAGCCCAACTCAGAATATAACAGATCGCCATCCACCAATAATGTATATTGAATTTCAAACAGTTTTATAAACTCATTGAAAACTGCTTATGATAAATCATATTAGGCATCAAAAGCAAGCCTTGAACCAGGTTTAGTCCCATCTGAAGCAATAAGATCAGGATTCAAAGTGACCCTTGCTATATAACAAGGTTCAGTCCAAGCTGCACAAGGCCTGCCTCAAATACTCAAAAGTGGGAGAAGGGAGCTGGCGAGATAGCTTAGAAGTTAAGAGCACTGATTATTCTTGCAGAGGACCTGGATTCAATTCCCAACACCCACATATTGGCCCACAACCATTTGTAACTCCAGTTCCATGGAATCCTGAGCCCTCTTCTGGCCTTTGAAGGCACCAAGCATTCATATGGTACCCAAACATTCATGCAGGAAAACACCCATACACATAAAATAAAATAAGATTAAAAAACAAACAAACAAGTCTTAAGACATTGCCATTCTAAACAGGCTATTTAAAAGTAAAAAGCCTTTCAAGCCAGATTCATTTTCAATATAATGATTATACATTTCTGTATTTTATTTACATATAATATTAATTTGCACATTAAACTTACTCGGCTAAGTAAAGTGTGTCTTTTAGAATCAATTTATCATGACAGGTGGTGTTTCTATAAAACAATTTGGTTCATTTCATTGGTGACATTTTCTTTTCTTCCCAATAATCTGTTTTAATCCAAGACAGGTGTCTCATGTTATTTTATTTGCCAAGCCTAGGAATTAGAATACTTCATGGAAAGTAATAGCACAATGTCCATGAGCCTGTGCAATTAATTGCTGCAACTCTCACAGCAATTAGAGCAGAATATGGAAGATTGGCAGTCATTTAGTCATAGAATGGAAACACAAAGCTTATTTACCAAACTGAAAAGAAATTAGGAAAGCTATTTTCTTCAGATTACATGTCTGCTCAAATGCACTTTCTTAATTATATTTTATAAGTGATGACTTTTTATGTCTCTTTACTCTCTTGGTTGGAAATTAAGCATCAGCTGAATATGCATCAAGCTGCAATCATGGGTACTAGGTAATTTTAAAGATAAGATTCTTGGCATACATGTGTCTTGCAAAGGTTGTAATAATGTATCTGCTGGCTAAAGGTGACAGAATCCCTTTCTGTAGAGAGGCAGGGTGGTGGTGTGGACAGACCCAAGGTTTGAAGTTCACCATAGTTACTTACCAGCTGTTAGCCTTCCTGGCCCTTAGGTTTCTCAACTATAAAATGGGACAAACACCTGTTCTGAAATGCTTAACATAAAATGGGTCTTTTACAAATCCCATTAGTTTAATTTGAGCATGTTTATTGAGAAGTAGGTTTTATATTGTTTTCTTTAAAGAAGAAGAGGTTTATTTTACTTTTAGTCATGTGTATATGTGTGTTCTTACTTTTAGTCATGTGTATATGTGTGTTCTTACTTTTAGTCATGTGTATATGTGTGTTTTTACTTTTAGTCATGTGTATATGTGTGTTTTTACTTTTAGTCATGTGTATATGTGTGTTTTTACTTTTAGTCATGTGTATATGTGTGTTCTTACTTTTAGTCATGTGTATATGTGTGTTCTTACTTTTAGTCATGTGTATATGTGTGTTTTTACTTTTAGTCATGTGTATATGTGTGTTCTTACTTTTAGTCATGTGTATATGTGTGTTCTTACTTTTAGTCATGTGTATATGTGTGTTCTTACTTTTAGTCATGTGTATATGTGTGTTCTTACTTTTAGTCATGTGTATATGTGTGTTCTTACTTTTAGTCATGTGTATATGTGTGTTCTTACTTTTAGTCATGTGTATATGTGTGTTCTTACTTTTAGTCATGTGTATCTGTGTGTTCTTACTTTTAGTCATGTGTATCTGTGTGTTCTTACTTTTAGTCATGTGTATCTGTGTGTTCTTACTTTTAGTCATGTGTATATGTGTGTTCTATCTGTGTTTCCATGCACATGTAAGTGAGGGTGCCCATAGGATCCGGAAGAGAGTGTCACACTACCTGGAGCTGCAGTTATAGGCAGTTAGCTATCCAATGTGGGTCCCAGGGACAGCACTCTGGTCCTCTTCAAGAGCAGTTGTATATGCCTTCAACCACCAAGTCTTTCTACAGCTCCTGCTTTTATGTTTTATGGATGAATTACTCAAGTCTCACGCTGTGTCCATCACATCCCCTCAGCTGCTTGGAGGAGATGGCTGTGGAATGGGTATAATGGATAACCCTGATAATTTGATGTAACTGTTCAGTTGTAGGGCAGGGCGTCCTTGTAGCCCAGGCTGACTTCAGTTCTCCTGTGTCCCGACTGCTAGCACCACAAGTGCTACCACATCTAGTTCTCTGTATTTTTAAGTATATATTGAATGACCTGGAAGTCCCAGCCTTCATTGATGGAAACAATCTGGAAAGGTACTGAGATATAGAAAGCAGCATCTGAGATATACATGTTTTTAGGGCTAGGCTCATGAAACATACCTTTATTCCCACTAGTATGCTGCCTTACGGGAGTGTTCAGATAGCCTGCAGAACTGTATTGAAGTGCTAGGCAGGATGACTCTTTGGTTAATCACACCAACACCCCGATGCCTGAATATAGCTTTTCGTTCAGTGGAGTAAGAGGGAGGGTTTACTGAATGGTTAATCTTTGCATCTGACCAGCAAATAAGTAGAATGTTTGGGGTGACCAAGAAAACATACTATTTTACCTAGAGTTTGAGGTCATCTGATAGACTCTTCACCCTGGGTACAGCCTCCTTGAAGCTAGGGAACTTTTGTTGTGTTCATTGCTGTAGTCCTATTCCAGGACAGAGCTTACTCCTCTGTAGATGCTCAGTCAGAAAGTTCGGACTGAGCAAACAGCACCAGGGGTCCCAAGTGTGGCTTAGTATTATCTCCTCTGTGCCGGACACAGACCTAATGGCACTGGAAAGATGAATAATGGCTGATTTCATTGTTCAAAATACACAAACACAGTAAGGATGTATTGAAAGTACATCCTTTTTTATTTGTTCTCTAGTGATGATCTAGAACGATTCATGGAAAATCAAGGTGCACCCAGCCCTGGTATCCTCATTTTAACAACAAGCCTCAGCAAACCATTCATGCGACTGGAAAAGTATGTTACTCTCTTGCAAGAGCTGGAACGACACATGGAGGTAAGGGAAGACAAGCTTCAGCAAAATCCCCTGCCCACTGGTGTCCTTCGTGCTGCACAAAGCAGCCGGTCTGCCTCAAACGAGCTTTGCTAAGACTCTCAAAACATTTTGGTTTCAAATTCTACTTGATCTGATCTTCCCCCTTCCCCATATCTAGTATTCCTCTTTATGCAACAAGAGTGGATTCCCATTCCATCCTGTTGCACAGTTACCATTATCCCTCACTTCCCTCTTTTCTTCCAGGCCCCAGCCCTGTGGCTTCCCCCAAGATTATGCTCATTTATTGGCTTAGGGTTTTTTTGCCATCTTGTCTGTAGAGCAGTGGTTCTCAACCTTCCTAATGCTTCCACCCTTTAGTATAGTTGTATTGACCCCCCCAACCATAAAATTAGATTTGTAATTTTTGTCATTTTGCTACTCTTATGAATCTTAATATAAATATCTGATATCTGGTATTTGACCCTAAGCGAGTCTCAGCCCACAGGTTGAGAACCGCTGATGTAGATGATGGCTCAATGGCCATCAGACCAATCTCTATTGTTCTGGTGTATTAACATTACTGTGATTGAAAAAGCCAACCAACATCAGAAAAACACAGAGACCAACCAAAAAAAAAAAAAAGAAAAGAATTTAAAGAAATTAAAGAATTAAAGAATTTTGTTGCAGACAGGAACACTGTAGACATTTGGTTTTCTGACTCTAGCATTAGTTAAAGAGTGTAAATGGGTCCAATGCTACTATATCACTGTGTGCATCAGTATGTCTACATCAAAGTCCACTGACATTTTTGTTAATAAACTTAAATTTTATTTGTAAAGATTGTAACACAGCTATAATCATTTATCAACATTAGGAATTGCAGCGGGGGGTCTGATAGTTGAATATTAAGTACCCCGATCCCATTGTGCTTTTTAAATGCAGTCACATTGCCTTGGGCTGTTCTTTCATGATCTTGCATGGGGTGTGGAGGCGTAGGTGGGAAAGACTGTGTTTACCCTAGTTGCTCTTCCTGTGTCTGGGGAAAGGTTTTGAGGTTTTAAAGGGCTTGGTTATCTTTAAAGAAAAAGGTTCCATGCTGCCGTGCTTGTCAGCATTTGTAGGGACTGAAAGCACCCTCCCTGAGTGAGAGCACATTCTCAGGGTATTTGAACTGCCCGAAAGTTGGAGGCAGTGCGCAGCTGGTAAGTAAAGGCTGCCAAAATGAAATTTCAATTGGGGTTCTGAAAGGGGTTGACCTCTGGCTGCCTTTCCATGCACTAAGCCAGTTCACTGGACTCTTTGAGGTTTGCCCCTCCTCCCTTATCACACAAATCCAGAAAGTGCCACTTTGTAGCCATGTGGCTACAGTGGGAGATCACTTAATCTGGGGAGAAAGTCCCAGGCCTTGCCCGCTGCCTCCCTCACCTGTTACTAGCCCAGCCTTCGTTTGCTCACTTTTGCTTTGACTTCTTTCTAATTGCTTCCATCAGATGATACACTCCATTCCTGGGAGTGTATCAACAGGCTAGCACCATCCCTGGTTTGAATCACTGTTAAGATAAGTTTTACCATAAAAGAATACACACTGACTTCCCATGAACAATCGTGCCTGTGGCATGAGTCACACCTCCAGCTGTTCTATCCAGTTTTCTCCCCGAGACTGGATGAGCATAATTGGCCTTCTCATTTCTCCAGTTGAATTCAGGGGGTGCATATACATGTCCTCACATGTCCATACTCTTCAATGTTTGGCATACTGCAGGATCAATGATTATTTAGTGACTATATTATTATTAAATATTTTAAAACAATTTTGATTAGACCCTTTCTCTCCCTCAAGTTCTCTCTCCCTTCCTACCCATCAAACTTTTCTTTCTCAAAAACAACCCCTCCAACCTAGAAAACAAAATTCATCAACACCCAAAAAGAATAAAACAAAACCACCAGACTATAACCAAATAAAAGTTCACAAGAAAAACTGTGCAGTCAATTATTTGTTGGTCAGGGAAATGGGAAATCTCATCTCAATAATGATACCTATTATGTTGCTATTAAATACACGATGTTATAAACTGACTTAAAAGTCTACTGATCTTGGCTAGATACTGCTGTTGTAAAATGTGTATGTATAAATGTATATGCATACATTAAGACATCATGTTGTCTATCATAAATATGTATAGTTTTGTCAATTAAAAGAAGACAATAATAAACTCAACTGTTATATGCAAAATAGTTAGCTGTATAATTTGATAAGTTAGGAAATAAAAAATATACCATAATTTAGATTTGGGATCTCAGTACTGCTAGTCATTAGATGAGTAAGAAATTTTCTGGGAACCAGGCAGTGGTGGGGTACACCTTTAATCCCAACACTCAGGAGGCAGAGATAGGCGGATCTCTGTGAGTTCGAGGACAACCTGGTCTACAGAGCTAGTTTCAGGACAGCTAGGGCTGTTATAAAGAGAAACCCTTTCTCGAAAAACCAAAAGAATTTTTTTTTCTGGGGCTGGAAAGATAGCTCAGCAGTTAAGAGTGACTTCTACTTGCAAAGGACCCTAGTTCAGATCCCATCATCCAAGTTAGCCAGCCAGCTCACAACTGTAGCTACAGTTGGCTCTGGAGCAATCCAAAGCCTGTGGCTTCCTCTAACACCTACACTCATGTGCACATACTCCCTCCCCCCTCATACTCTAGCTCATATATGCACATAATTCAGAAAAATATTAAAAAGTAAGAACAAATAAAATTTCTTTCGGTTCATAGTTTCATGAATTTTAACACAGGTGATTAATGTAATCACCACCATAGACAAGATATGAGACAATTCCATTACAAACACACACACACACACACACACACACACACACACACACACACACTTCTGCCTTATTTTCCCTTTGTGGCCATATGTTCATCCCATCTCATCCATGGCAGCATCCATTCTCTTCCAATACAGTTTTGATTATTTAGTTTTAATTATTTCTTTTATTTTTTAGATTATAATTACATCATCTCCTCCTCCCCCCCCCCCACAACCCTCCAATATACTTCTTCTAACTGTCTTTCACTCATGGTCTCCTTTTTCATTAACGTTGTTATATGCATATGCTGATACTGTTTTTAAATGTATCTCTTTGATAGGACACTCATCCGGATCATCAAGACATTCTGAAAGCAATTGTAGCATTCAAAACACTCATGGTAGGTGACACTCTCAGATTGTCATTCTCCATTTTGTATACTTTGTTCCTGAAAGAATTATTTGTGTGTAACATTTCTTTCCTTAAACATGGGTCCTGGGATGAAGACAATGCACTTTCAGGACAGTAGCTTTGTGATTGGTACATTTGCTTTTGTTCTCCGCAAATCATGCTTACTATGAAAGGGTGCCAGAAGGGGATAAAGAGATCACATTTTGAAAAGTCTTGGCCACATTAAGCATTGATGTGTAGGTGGGGGTTTCCTTTTTTTTTTTTTCTTTGTCTTTACCTCCATTGCTCACCCTATGTCCTTCACTGATTGGCATCAATACTGGATTTCACCATGTATGCCAAAAGATATGAATTTGCTCTTTGCATATGAAATAGGAATCCTTCCTAAAAGGGAAAACACAATGGACTAAAATGAAATTGCTTAATATAGATTGTTACCAGAGGTAGCTATAATCTTGCATCTTGAAGCATCGATGTTAGCTTGTCTCCTTGAACCTACTGCTGTAAAACCTTTGTGATGCCATTTCACAGGGGAAAAAAAAAAACCTTTATTTTGGGCAATGGGTTAAATTTAGATATATTTGACATTTCTAAAGGCTTCTGTGAGATTTGAACCAATGTTTAGCTTTTGATCCTTGCTAGAAGGTTACTACATAACATTTACCATCACTTTTATTGCTTTTGAAAGACGAGTAACGGATGTGTCAGTGATTAAAGGGAAACTAAAGATCAGGCAAGTCATTATGATAAATTTGCACCTGTTATCAGGCAAAAGTAGTAAAAAGAAATACCTGCAATTTTACATGGCTCAACTTCATAGAAAAGCTCACTGAAACCTGTGCATGGCATGGCATTTGTTGTAAATTGTACCTCCTTTATTCATTATTATATAAATGAAAATAGAAGGCCTTTGGAAAACCAGCACAAGCAAACAGAACAACAAATTCAAGAGTTTGTCAGGCATGGTAGGGCATGCTTGGATACTACCACTTGGGAGACAGATCCAGTTCAAAGTCAGAGCCTTAGTTACATAGTGAGTTGAGGCCAATCTGGGCTATGTAAGACCTTGTCTGAACAACCCGAAACTAAAATGCACTCCTCTAGCAACTATAAGCAAGTGTGTCTTTTTTTGTCATGTTATAAAACTTGCTGTGATGGTGGTAATATATTTGCTGCAGATACATATGCTTTAAAAATCTGTATAATGTGTTTATTTCTTAAAGTCTTGGTTAAATGATGCAACAGATTTTTATAGAAAAAATATTTCCAAACAATATTATGCCTTCATGTGTACAAAGTAATGCAATGGACCATTTGCTTAGACATGTATTCATTTTGGAATAAGTAATGTTAAATTACTCCAAGATAACTTTAGTCTTTTGAGACAGGTTTTGTATCTCTCTATGAATTTCATACCCCACCTAGTACTGGCAGACTGTTTCTTGATTTGAATTTCCAATGTCGTGATCAACATGAAATCCACTTGTTTTTCCCCAATCCCTTTAGGAATAAAAATAAGCTTAGTATTTTACAAAGTACTGTTGCTCCCTGAAGCAAAGTCAGGACGGTGCCATTCTCTGTTTTCAAAACTCTAGGAGTAATTTTTGCTCGTTTTTCTTATCTTCAAGTTGCAGTCTTGTTGGAGAGTGAGCATACATTATACAAGTGAAATTAGTTTTAATTATAGCCCTATTTATCCATTGTAGTAAAGGGCTGGATGTTGTCCTGGCTCTACTTGATGGGATTCTGTTCCTTGTCTGTCCAGACTCTTCATGGGAAGGGAGCAATAAGCCCCTTCTTAGCGCATCATCTTCTTTCCTTGGCAAAATGGAAGCTATCTCCTCTTCCTATAACACTGGGAAGCTCAAAGATTTGTTTGTCTGGCAGGAGCATAGATTGTCATAGAATTCGGGGTAAGGGATAAAAGAGATACAAGGAGTCCAAAGCCATACCTTATTTGAACTTGTTTTGGGTCTGAGAACTTTCCCCATCTGTCTCATCTGAACCCCTATGGCATCATGTTCTGTTTCACATCTGTAGGGGCAGTGCCAAGATCTGAGAAAGAGAAAACAGCTGGAGTTGCAGATCCTTTCCGAACCCATTCAGGCATGGGAAGGAGACGATATCAAGACCCTGGGAAATGTGATCTTTATGTCACAAGTAATGGTGCAGTATGGAACCTGTGAGGTAAGTCCTCAGCATTGCTTCTTTTGTTTTTTTTGTATTTCTCTTCCTATATCTGTCTCTCTGTCAAGGTCAACTGGGGTAGGAGCAGAGGAAATGGAAACTAAAGGGCAACTTTGAGACACATTTGCATGGTAGCATCAACAGAAAGGGGTGGCTTATGGGATACAAAAGGTGGCAGAAATAATTAGGCCCACTAACTTTCAAAAGACCCTGGGTATCTGCATGTAGGTGTAAACAGCTGTTAATGTACTATGGAAATGTGGGTGAGAGGTCAGCATTAAAGACAAAGATTTAGATGTCTCTGACAAATGTACCCTTCTAGGAATTACACATCCAAAGAGAAGCAGAGAACTTGAAGATGGAGTATTTCTTCTAGGAAGAGGCCAGAGTAGGAGAGAACGGTTGATATGTCACCTGCTGTGATTAGTGGGTGTCAGTATTGTCTCCCTTCTCCATAAACACCTCCCTGTACTCTCTGATGTGCTTGTGGCAGAGATTCATTACCTCGGGTTAATGAGCAATCTCATTGAAAATGCAGGTACCCTGGGGAAAGTTAATGCAGTGAGGGTAACTATTAGTCATATCTTTGTGATAAAACCCTTGGATGAAAGCAGGGGGACCCATTGTGGGGCTCAGTGGGTGACACAGCTAGAATAGAAAAGAACTGGGGATTGTGGTGTCGTGGAAATTCCTGGAGGGTTACTTGAAAGTGGCCAGCAAGCTGAGTGCTATAAAAGGTTCAGAGGTCAAGGAGTGTGGGGGGAAAAAAGGAAGCCATTGGATTTTGCTAGGAGGCAGTTATTGATGACTTTGAGAAAGCAATGGGTGAGTGCAGTTAGGGGGAAATCAATGGAGAGAAAATGAAGGCAGCGAGTAATTTGCCAATAAAACGTCAAGAAATGAGATACCATGAATGAGGAGCTACATGGGGCGAGCAAGGTCACATATATCTCATCACCTTACGAGGGTGATGAGAGTTTGCTAAAGGCAAAAGAGGAGGACCTCGTAAAACAGGAGAGGTTGCTGAAGCAGGGCAATGTGTGTGGAAGGGAAATTAGGCAAGAGAAAGATCTGAGAGAAGGAGAATGAGGAGATAGCTGGAAGGGTAATTGTGTCAATTTTTTTTTTTTTTTTTTGGCTTTTTCGAGACAGGGTTTCTATTCTCTGTATTGCTTTGGAGGCTGTCCTGGAACTAGCTCTGTAGACCAGTCTGGCGTCGAACTCACAGAGATCCACCTGCCTCTGCCTCAAGATGGAATTTTTGAATGTACTAATTGTGACTCTGTTCAGGGGATCAGAGCATCCCCCATGTGCTAAGTTTACTTTAGTGCAATCAAAAAGTGTAGTTGACAATAATGCATGATAAAAATCTTAAAAGAGCTAGAAGAGAGAGTCTCTTTTCATTTAAAAAAAGTTTTTATGTTGTTTGTTTGTTATGTATGCACATGTGTGTGCTCAAGCACACGTGTGGAGTTCAGAGGACAGCTGGTAGGGGTTGGTTCTGTCCTTCTACCAAGTGGGTCCTGGGGATCAAACTCAGGTGTTCAAATCATCCATCACACTTGCTGTCAGATGAGTCTTAGTGAGTCATCTCACTGGTTCTAGCAAGGATTTTGAGTTTGACATGAAGAAATGAAAAAAAAAAGTTTAAAACATTAGATATGCTAATAAATAGATTTGGTCATTACCCAATGTCTACATGAATTGAAATGCCACATTGTTTCTTATAAATGTGTACATACAAATATGTTATGTGCCGATAAAAAAAGCCATTAAATTGGCTGGGGGGGGTTGAAAAAGACTGGATTTGGTATGCATAAGGCCCTGCACTGTATTTCCAATATCATACACAGAGACCAAATAATCCACACAAAATTTTAAAAATGTATTTACTTCTTTGTCTTACATGCCATAACTATCTCTTTGTATGTGTATGTGTGTATGGAATTTTCCACATATGTGCATTTGGTTGGAGGTCAGAGGTAGACAATAATCATCTTCCTTTATTTAGTTCCAATTTTGTTTCTTATTGAACCTGGAGCTCGCCATTTTTTGCCTGGACTGCATAACCAATAAGCCCCTAGATCCACTTCGCTGTGACCCTGCAGCCCTCAGGCTTTTAGATGCTTGCTGCTATGGCAAGTATGTGGGTGCTAGGAACCCTAACACAGGCCTTCATGCTTGAGCACAGGTACTTTCGCCACCGAGCCCAGAATTATCCTGTATTAATGATTAGAAATAACTTGATGACTGAGAATATTAGCAGACCATAAATTTCCTTTTAATAAAAAAAATTTTAAAAATTTTCATTTGTTTTACATAGCAACCACAGATTTTCCTCCCTTCTCTTCTCCCATCCCCTGTTCCACCTCTCTTCTGCTCCACATCTACTCTTCCTCTGTATCCCTTCAGCTGGGGTAAGGCCTCTCCCATGGGTGCCAACAAAGCATGGCATATCAAGTTGAGATAGGACCAAGTTCCTCCCTCTGCATCAAGGTTTGAAGAGGTAACCCAGCATTTGGAATAGGTTCCAAAAAGCCAGTTCAAGTGCCAGGGCCAGGTTCTGAACCCACTGCTAGGAGACGCACAAAAAAGACCAAGCTACACCGCTATCATACACATGCCAAGGGCCTAGGTCGGTCCCATGCAGGCTCCCTAGCTGTCAGTCCAGAGTTCGTGAACTCTCATGAGCTCAGGTCAGCTGTAGCTGACCGTAAATTTCTTATCTGCTGAAAGTTGTTTCACTTTGCTATTATTGAAACTAAAGTTACATTTCAGTTTTGGGAATGTTTAGAGACTTAATTTGTGTTCGGAACTAGTATGTGACACTGGTGCAGAATCTATGTGGGTTCTTGTCCTTATACATGGGGAGCAAAGTCCATACTCGTTTGGTGCTTTTGAGTTGGCTGTCTTTTTACAGCGCACAGCCGATGCCCAGGTTAGTGATTATGTAAGGCCTGTATTTCGAAGCAGTGCTTTCAGAAGGTCCTAACAAAAGCACTCCAATTTCTGTTCTCCCTTTCCTGATTTTGCTTCTGCTTCAGGAAAAAGAGGAACGGTATTTCATGCTATTTTCAAATGTCTTGATCATGTTGTCTGCAAGTCCTCGGATGAGTGGCTTTATCTATCAGGTGAGTAGCCCCATATAAGACAAATTGGCAAAGGCCAGATGAAAACAGGCTTCTGTTCGGATGTGATATATGCATGATGGTGTTATAAGCTCAAGCTGGCAAAGGTGGAATTTTCTAACTCTTCACTATAACGAAACTGTGTGTAAGAACAGATGTTGAGACTTTTGTAGTCATACCATCCTGTCCTGGCTATTTGCCATTCTGGTTATGAGCTAGGTTTCCAGTTGTATAAATAGAAATCTAAATTGATAATTGGATAAATTAGTAGCAACAGTTTAAAGGCCCATAGTGTTACTGCTAAAAAACACGAAGCTGGGACTCAATCCTGTAATTGTCATATTGCAGTGATGTTATACGATTTGGGTTGTAAGATGCTGATCCTTAAATGTCTTAAGGAATTAAACATCCCTCAGGCTGTCCCCAAAATGTAGATTATTATGCTTATGCTATGATTCTCTGTTATGTGTGGTCTTGGCTGTTACTCCTTTTCATAAAATGTGAGCCATTGCTTTTCAGTTCATATGACAATATGTTAGAAAGTCACCTGCTTTGTAATTCATGAGCTTAGGGTTTAAGCTATATTAGCCAAATGCACCTTTCTCCCTTGCTTTCTTGTCTAATTAAAATGTAGAATAAAGAAGCATTGTCTATTATCACACTAGAGAGATATGTCTAGCCATGTGATTTCTGAGAAGATCAAAAGTCTGAGAGAAATATGTACAATCATAGAATTAATAAGAATATGCTTTTTCTGCTAGGGAAAAATACCAATAGCAGGGATGGTGGTGACTAGATTAGATGAAATTGAAGGGAATGACTGCACATTTGAAATCACAGGTAGGTAATTTTCTCCTTCTCATGTAGCTACTTCACATCCTTTTTGGAATAAAGTGGAGTTTAAACAAATAAATGCTATTATTTGCTCCTGTATAGTTCACAAGCAGGTTTTACAGGCATATGGTAAAGCCCATTCCATTCTCTGGGATAACTAGAGTAGACTAATAAAACAGTGACGCTTCCTTGTCATTTAATAGCCTCTCTTGCATAAGATCTACTTGTCAGAGCTAGAGAATATCAAAATGCACTGACTTCTTCCTTTTCTGTAATATGGTCCATAGTGGCCAAGAAGCTAGAGGTGTGGGCTTTTGTCACCAGTCTTATCAGCTTATAAACTAGCAAGGCATCATAGTGTTCTAAGAAGCCATGAAACCTTCTATACAAATTGAGACCAGTCTTCATGATTCTCCCTGACATTTTAGCCTATTGTCCCCTTTGTCATGCCTCTGTGACTCACTTGCAATGGCTGCAGTTCTACATGCATGTCACAGTGGTGATGATAGTGTTAATGTTCCTAGATTGTATCAAAACCTGTACTCATCAATAAGGAGCCTAAGAGTTGGTACCTGCTTAAAGATTTTTCAACCAGTACAATATTTTTTACATGAGGCTATGGACTAGATGGGTAGTCAGCACATGTAAGGTTTTGGATTGTGGGGTTTTGCACTATATCTAAGATTCTGTGAAGTGGTAGAAATCAAGAACAGTTTTAGAAATAAAATAATTTACCATGTTATCACAACTTCCCTGTTCCTAATATTGAAGTTTGGAAGGATTATTTCATAGAGAGGAAGATACCTGAAAATAGATGCCCAACTGAAGTGTGTTTGTAAGACAGATCCTAAATGTTCATAATTGGGTGATACAGGTAACATGATAGAGAGAACTGTGGTCTGTTGCAACAATAACCAGGACTTCCAGGAATGGCTGGAACAGCTGAACAGACTGACCAGAGGACCAGCCTCTTGCAGTTCATTATCTAAGACTTCATCATCATCATGTAGTACTCATTCTGTAAGTAGTTTGTTGGGATTATTGAAGTATTGGGATTATTGAAGCATTGGGATTGTTGAAATATTAGGATTACTGAAGTATTGGGATTATTTTATTGTAGTATTTGGATTGTTAAAGCTTTGGGATTATTGAAGTTTTGTCAGATTTTGCCTGCTAAAGACTTCTAAAAATCAGCAGCAAGCATGCCCTTTGACTTTGGGTGGTCTCTGTAGATTGTGAAGTACAGTTAAATCTCACTAATTCTAATTTCTCATCATTGCGAGGCCCATTGAAATTAATAAAACATTGCAGTTAAATATGTGTGATCTTGGTCAGCAGTCTGAAGGGACTCCATCTAACTGCTAGTCAAGCGTTTCCCACCAGAGGCCCTTCTGAGAGGTTTTCATGATAAACAAGACTTACTTGTTTCCTAACTGTTATTCTCACCTTAATCATGTGCTAAGTCAAAGCAAGTGGTTCCCTTCTCGGGATGCTCAAACAACTTCAAGTAATCTCCCTCACGCTTTCACATCTGTTCAGTAACCTGCATGGAAAAGGTATACATTTAGCATTGCCGTCTGAGTTCTCAGAAATCTCGGATTTACACAGATGGAATTAATGAGATTTTACTGTACTTGCTGGGTGAAATGGAAGCTTTCCACTGCTGTCTGTTAACGCGCAAACCTGTAATGCCCGGTTCTGAATGCTGTGTGTTGTGGTGGTGGAACGCAGGCTTTGGCATCAAATCTGGGTTCAAATCTTGTCTTTGCCAATTTCTAGCCAGTCACTGCGCTTCTCTGAGCCTGTTGTTGTTTACGCTGATGAAAGAGCCCACTTAATCTAATTGAGTGCCCAACACATCACTGAAAGTCCAATGGTTTCTGTTGTTCCACGTCCACCCCCCCCTTCCAGAGGAAACATTTCTGCCTTAAATGAAATTGCAGACAAGAGAGGACAGGATCGTGGGACACCCAGTCTGTTTTGTGCTGTTCCTTGGAGCCCCCTTGCCTTTGTGTAGCAGCTGTTAGTTTTCCAACTGGACACTTTCCGCGTCCCACCCTCCCACTTTCATGCCCGGCTTTGCTGAACCAATGAAGCTGTTGTCATTCTCTCACTGCGTGGTACCAGGTCGGGTTCAGAGGGCAGATTGCCAGCATCTCATGAGACATTTTCCCAGTCTTTTAGCTCTACTGGACAGCCCCGAGGACCCTTGGAGCCTCCTCAAATTATAAAACCGTGGAGTTTAAGTTGCCTACGACCTGCACCTCCACTTAGACCATCAGCAGCTCTAGGTTATAAAGAGGTAATTTTGCTACATATGGTATAAAATGCTTCTGATGAGCTAATTGCAAATAGTTCAGTGAGAATATGCTAGAATTTATTATAAAATATATATGTTGATATGTATATACATATATATATATACAGATATATATATATATGTCAGTCTTGATTGCTAGACACAGTGATTGTTTCTTAATTTTCCATTTCCCTGTTCTCCATCCACAGTCATTGATGGAACCGAACAGTTCAAGTGCACTGCCTTTTTCCCTAGTCTATTCCTTAAGGGCCTCTGTTGTGTCTCTACATGGTGACAATAATTCCTTAGATTAGTTAACTATGTACACATGTCTCAACCAAGAAACACTTCACTGGAAGTTGCATTTCCAATCAAACACCCAATTCTGCATTTCATAATATGTTGATCAATGAAGCCAAATCAGTAAAAAGCCATGTGTCTCAACTATGAGAGCAATGCTTGCTGTAGTGGAAAGGAGAGAAGAATGTAATGAAGGAAATGTCTTTTTACACAGAGGCTTCTCAGTATCAGCCTCCCTCCCAGGGAGTTTGGTGTTTGCCTTGTGTGCTGCCAAGATACACCATGGCCAGAGTGTCTGGTCCTTTGCTCTAGCAGTGCAGCCAAGGCACATCAGTCACTAGCTCCCATAGCTACACAAGTGTTACCTTTTCACCCACTGAGGATTCCCCCTTACTTCCTTCTTTCTAATTATTTCATATTTCACAAAGACATTCATTTATTAATAACTGGTCTTAAGGTCTTGTTGTATGAAGAGTAAGTCACTGACGGTTATGAAATGAACCTTACAATTTTGATGGAAAGGCAGTGTATAATTCTCTGTCCCGTATGGTTTGATCTTAGATATTTTTCTCAGTTTGGAGTGTAGTTTGATTTGAGCAACCAACCATGCTTCTGCTCCAATTAATTGTTTCCTCCATCTCAGTGCAATAAAATAGAACAAGATGTAGACATTGGGGGATTATTTTTAGCCCTCTCAACTGATGTGATAGGAACATGGCTCGAGCATTTTTTTTTTTTTTTAAGTAGCTCTATTCAGAATTTGGGCAGGAAGTGGTCCTACAGATTTGCTTTGAAACTGACCTACAACCATTCAGTTTTCTTTGATTCTTAAACCAGGAGTGCCACTTCATAGTAACCTATTCCCCTTTTTAATAATGGGCATTTTACAACTGTCAGTTACGAAACTCATACCAAGGTGAACTCTGAAGGGTAAAGTTGACTTAATCTTTCCCATAACTAATCTATTAAAACTAAGGCATGCTCACTGTATTTCTGCTGGTGGAAGGAAGTTATTAATATATTCTTGCTATGTACTGTGCGTTTCGGTGATTTGTCAGCATTTGTAATTCTGCACAGAACTGGATTCTTTGGACTTTTGCATGAAGATATTGCATCTGAAACTAATGTGGGAAATGTAATTTATGATAACACTAACATTTCAAATGTTGTTTTAGAATTATTGATAAATGGATTTGGTCATTATAACCATCGAACTCTCACGCTCATCTTCTCTTTCTTTACATATTCATTTTAGAGGATGTCTTATATCTTAAAGGTAAGGGTAGAACAGTGACATCGTAATGTTGTTGTGCTGTAACCTTTGACGAATGAAGCTTTCCTTTATGCTTGTTTTGTCCCTTGCTATAAGTGGTGGCTAAAATGTGAAGATGCAATTCTGACATGTAAGTACTTTCTTCAAAAGCAGGCTTGCGTAAAATGTCACTTTATATATCATGCCTTTAAAATGCCCATTTTCCTATGTTTTTAATGCTAGCTTTTCCTATTTTTTTAAGCACGTGTTGGTTTTCATGTTTGTCTCTTTTCAAGTCTAAGTGGACCACTGTGGCTAAGTGAAGACAATTAAATTATTTATTCCATGCATTTTAAAGTACTAATTATTACTCATGCATCAGATAGACACATACATACATACATACATACATACATACATACATACACACACACACACACAATGGACAACATATAATATCAGAGTAGTATCTTGGGATTCTAAGTGTAAGATTGTAATGGCCCAATCTGTTTACTTTCATATTAGCATTGATTTTTTTAAATTAGTTATACATATGGCAAACTCCAAATTCACTATTTTTTACCTCCATTGTGTACTAATTAAAAGTGTGACTTTGGCTATGTATAACCCAAAGTTATTTGTCAGGAAACTCTACACCAAATTCTCCTCTCTGAGAAAACATCTTAATAATTTTCCTATCTGAGTGATAGGAATTATAGTTTTTTTTTTTAAAAATGGGACTGCTTTTAAGCAAAACTTACTGAAATAGTTTTAAATTTTTAGTAAAAAGATAACTGTTCCAGGAGTAGTTACATTGTCAAACTATCCATGGGAAGCATCAACCAAGTTAGGAATGCTAGTACTCTTCTGGGGTTGAATTCCCATTATTCTTGCCGCAGATGGTACCCTAAAGGCACTGACCCTCTTGCACAATCTGCATCCTTCTTCATTCTTATTCTCATTCCTGTGGCAACTGAGAGTTGAATGTTATTGCCTGTGCTTTGTTGAACCTTTTCAAGTTTCCTGAAGCCGTTTTTTAGTATGTGTAATCTAAAACTCTGACACTCTCCTAATGGATGCTATCGCGATGAGAGATGCATTCGGATGCATTTGATTGCCTCTGTTTTCATTTGTGTTTGGGAAAGAATGTTAATTCATGGAGAAACCATTATCCTTGCAGGAATCTAGTAAGAGCCCCAAGACGATGAAGAAGTTTCTTCACAAAAGAAAGACTGAGAGAAAAGCATCTGAGGAAGAATACGTGATTAGGAAAAGTATGTGTTTCGTACTTTTGCAAAGTTATTTATGGGCGAACTAACAGGAGAATTTTAAAAAGCAGATAATTAGAGCAGTTTGTTCTTGGCATCATCTGATGTAAAAATGTGTGGAAAATTTGGTCACTTCTAAGACTTCTGAATAAGCTGTCCCCTGCTGCACTTCCTGCCGATGTTGACAGATGTCAATCCTTATCATTTTCATGCTTCAGAACACTTCACCCTCACCTGCTTTAGATTCCTCAATGGGGCCCATTGAAATGGACACACTTTTCCCCTGTAGGCTTTTGATGGCTGGGCTATGTTTCTGAACAAATAGACTAAATGGACTGGAGGATAGAAATCCTTCTGGCTGTCTAATGCTCAGGAACAATCTCAGATGGCCAAGGAGTCAGTCTGCTGATATCCAGAAAGATCACTTTAGCTAGGGAGCTGATAAAGTCAAGCGAGATGACTGTATTTGGCTCTAAAATCATGAACAAGGAGTCAGTGATACAGCAGCACATTGTGGTGGCTAGGGACATAGTTCTGTTCTTAGACTACTTCCCTAGCAAGCACAAAGCCCACAATTTGATCCCTAGCACCACATAAACGAGGCATGGGTGGCATGTGCCTGTAATCAGAAGTTCGAGGTTACCCTCAGCTGCATAATAAGTTAGAGATCAATCTGATTTACATGAGACCCTGTCATAATATGATACTATAAAGAAGGCAAGCCTTGAAATTTAATAACCAGGAAGACTGGTGTAGTGGGTGAGTGCTGAAGCCATCACCAAGCCTCAGTGCCTCAATTTCAGCCTTTGAGGGATGACTAACTGAAGCCCACTAAATTAAAGTTCTGAACTTCAGGAGCAGCCCCTTCTCTGAGTATTGACCCCGGCGCTCTCGGGGTTACTGTTGGTGTCACGATTGTCTCGGGAGGCTTGAACAAATATTGCCTGCCTTTCAGAAACACTTCCAGTCCTTGGCAGTGATAGGCACAGCATCATTTTGAGTGTCCAGGGTCATATGTCTATGAGAAGTCATTACTGATTAAATTTGACAGGTACAGCTGCTCTGGAAGAGGATGCTCAGATCCTTAAGGTGATCGAAGCCTACTGCACCAGCGCCAGTTTTCAACAAGGTAATGGCTCAAGTAGAATTCCTCACACTGCTTCTGCTAATGAATGGGGTTTGTTCTTTGCTGCTCACTGTCTCTTGGGGAAATAAAAAAGCATCAGTGCAGATCAATTGCAGAGCGTGGAAAGCATGCGACTCAGTGCGGAGCAGAGGCGCAGGATTGAATCTTTCAGATAAGGCACTTTTAGCTCCTGGGTGCTGGGTTTACACACTGTTGCTTTTCACCCAGAGAGACAGAGAGATGCAAGTGGGAAAAAGTTGGAGGTGATAGAAATGAAAAAGGGTTTTTAAAAGTTGCTCTCTTTTGATCTACGCAGATACCTTCACCAGCCCTAGTTAGGATTTAAAGAGCCCAGAGAGTTCCTGTGTCTGCGAACTGATGCTAATCTTGTCTTATAGGCAGAATTGGAAAGGAAGTCAAAATACTATCTTTCATCAGCTATGTATTGAAGTGAACGATGCTTCACCAGACTTAGCTTTCATAGTTGCTCTGAAAATCTGGAAATGTAGCTGCAAAGCTGAGGCTCTTCAAAATATATGAACTGTCCCAAGGAGCTGCTAGATGAGGGTATTTCCCTAAGTAGCTTTCAGCGTACAACCTGAAAGCTAGGTGATGCCTTCTGGCAAGTCCATGGGCTTTTTCCAGTCCAGGTCACATAGATTATATATTTTGTTTCCTATCATCATATACATATAGGACAACCGTTACAAAGTTTTTCATATCTGCATAAGGACTACATGTCCAAGTGTGCTGTAGTTTTCACAGCTACTGACCAGCTGCTTACTTGCTATGACAGGGGTTTCTTAGGAGACTGTCTTGACACACTCTTTGAAGGTAGCACATCTTACAGGCTGTCACAAGAGGAGAGCATTTGATGTGAAAACCAATACATTTCACCGTGAACAGCGACACTGCACCACAGATGTAATTTCACTGTGGCGTATGGCATGCTTGGTCCTCATGGCAAGTTTTGATGAGCTGGGAGAGGAAAGAGAAGTATTATTGTGAAAGCTAGGGTGGAGGTGGGGTGAAGAAACAACAGAGTATCCCTCAACTCACTTCTGTGCAATTTGTTTTCCTAGATGTAGAGTCCATCCAAGTATTTAGAGGTGAGAGCTCAGAGATGATCTGGCCTAAATAGGCATAGTTTGGTTCCTCCTTCCTACCCTCCCTTGTGCATGTGGAAAGTATTCTTGACATTCAGATGAGGCCAACATTTCAGTATCGTAGTGGCCCTCCATTTTACAACAGTCAAATGTCCCGTTTCCCTAGAACTGACTGCCCTTGGCTTTCTGCATCCATCCATCCATCCATCTTCTGCATATTAATCAAATATTTATGAAGAGCTATTCACTGAACATGGAAGCATCTTACCTCTGGGAAGTAGAGAATGATCAAATAAAATAGTGAATGTGTACACCTCTGGAGGATTTTGTTCTAAAACAGAACAGGCTGGTGGCCCAGGCAAAGCAAAGATTAAGTCCTTAAGCCCAGAGAGGAAGGCTCTACACTGAGGTGTAGAGAAGTTGAAACTACCTATCACCTCATCTTTCCCAGGTTGGACAGGCAGTGTGGGCAGAGAGCAATGAGGATATATGAGTTTTGTTGCTCCACTGTACCCATGGCCAAAAATAGATTTAAGTCACTCTACATTTCCCTAGAGAACTTCAAAATGAGCAAATGCTGCTTCTGAAGCCCTTTGAGTATGTCATAGCACAGAGTACTGCTATTGTTAGCCTGATCTTTACTGAAAGTAAAGAATCCATCATGATCATGAGATTTGGTGTGGGATTCCTGGAGGAATACAGAGATGGGAACCAGTGGTCAGTTCTTCGCTTGGGGAAGGGGATCTTAGAATACCAACTCTCCCTTCTTGAAGATCAAATAACTTCATTTGCCCATTTAGAGTTCTTTCTGTCAGGAAAATTTAAGAGTGGCATGATTGTCCCCTGAATGAAAGGGTGTGAAGAAAGTTGTTGTTACAATGGCTGTGGAAAGGACTAAGACCAAGACAACCTTTGATAATAACTCCCCGCCCCCTCTCTGGCAATCTTCACTTTACAGGTACTCGTAAAGATTCTGTCCCACAAGTACTACTCCCTGAGGAAGAGAAACTCATTATTGAAGAAACCAGAAGTAACGGGCAGACCATCATTGAAGAAAAGTGAGTAGAGAAAGTGACCCCTTTCTTGACTGGTCTAGGGCCTGAAAGTGGGTATGGCAGGCTGTCTTAAGGCTTCTGTTACTGTAATAAAGCAACATAACCTTGAGCATGTTGGGCAAGAAAAGTGTCTATTTCAGCTTACAAGTCTGAGGCCACACTCCATCACTGAGGGAAGTCAGGACAGGAACAAATAAGGCAGAAACCTGGAGGCAGGAGCTGATGCAGAAGCCATGGAGAGGTGCTGCTTACTGGCTTGCTTACCCTGGCTTGCTCAGCCTCATTTCTTACAGAACCCAGGAACCAGGGATGACACCACCCACAAGGGGCTGGGCGTTTTCACATTACTCACTAATTAAGAAAACTGTTCTACAGACTTATCCATAGGCCTATCTGGTAGGGGGCATTGCCTCAGTTGAAGCTTCCTCTTCCAAAATGACTGTAGCTATGCCAAGTTGATATAAAAAATAGGCAGCACACAGGTTCTTCCTTGAAGGGCCCCTTGTTCTCCTCCCTCTTCCTTCGCTCATCCCCATCTTTCTCTTCCCATCCCTCCATAAAAGGCCCTTCTTTGCTGAGCATACAGTTGGGAGCCCCAAGATGGCAGGAGGAAGGGCAACCAAAGGAAGGGGCTAGAAAACTCCTGTTCTCCTGTGGAGTAAGCAGCTCCCCAGCACTGAAGATCTCCACATGCTATGTCAGGAGATAACATGAAGGCCTCAGTGTGCATCTACATACCCACAGCTATTACCACTTTGTAGGAACCTGGATTTGTTTGTGTCCTATGTTGTGGGGCAACCTGTCTTTGTGCCCCACAGTGGGCGCCATCTGTACCTTCCATCTTTAGTAGCTCCATGTTGTGGTGCAATCTGTATTAACCCATCTTTCTTTGTGTCCCATGTTGACTGGTCATCTTTGGGGGGCTTCAGTCAGATCCAGCTGACTTGCCTGGTTTGTACCAGAGAAGGGGAGTATGAAAACAGCAGGTAAAGATACTAAGGAAAAGAGACACAGAATAGAGTCAGGAGGGCAATCTAATGAACCACTGAGCTTGACAAATTTGTTGATATATTATTTATGATTTCTTAAAGATTGCTTGAGGATTCAGAAAGCAAAAACAGCCATAAGCCATGGAAGCCAGGCACACACCCTTAATCCCAGCAGCCAGAAACTAGCAGGTAGTGGTACACACCTATAATCCTAGTACTCAAGGTCAACCAGATCTACACAAGTTTTAATCAGTCTAAAAGAGAGTTATAGCTCACCCCTTTAATCCCAGAACTCATGAGAGGTATGTAAAAACAGGAGAAAGATCTCAGTATTGAGCATTAATCCTCCAGTCACATTGAGTATAGGAACATCCCAGTCCTGTTAGAGGTAAGAGCTCTCTGGCAGCTTGGCTGCTTTGATTTTCTGAACTTCAGGCAAGTTTTAATAAATCATCAATAATGTATCACCACAGCCAAGTTCATTCTTCAACATTCTAATATCCCCCAAAACAAAAAGAGGAAAACGGCAAGAGACTTCTTTATCAAGATACAAGGTACAAAGAGACTTACTTCTGCAATCTTCCAAATATTTAGTAGACTAAATCTTTCATCATCAGACCTTGAGGGTTAAAAGTAACCACACCTTAGACCAAGTCTCTTGTTATTGAGATAAGCCATCCACACCTTAGACCAAACATCCTATAGTAGCCACACCTTAGACCTTTAGGTATTATGACTTTAACCTTGGAAGAGTAAGTATAATTTTGAATGCTCTGTCCATAAGATGAAGCAAAGCCATTTTTACGGACCCTGACACTACTCACATATTTTCAGTCAGGAGCCCCGTTTGTCATAGTTGCCGTTTTATGAAGTCCTAATGCAATCTTGTGGAAAATGCATCACTTTCAAAGATGAAGTAAATACAGATCTGGGAAACTGTTCCCATGTCCTCACTTTCACAGTTGTGAGTGTTACTTACATGGGGTGGGGTCAGGTTAAATACCTTCCAGCTCATAAAGAAGCACAGAGTAGCCACGGATAACTCCTTTCTAGTAGAGTTATTTCTGAAGTCAGGCCTGAATTTGCATAGGACAGCACCTCTCACACCTGGGGAAAGCATTTTGGCTCAAGAGGAGAGACCAAAGTCCCAGTTCTGCTCTCAATTTGCTGTATATTGCCAGTGTTACCTGGGCTACTACTTCTACTTCTTCAGATTTGTAGTCCTTATCTGTAAAATGAGAATGCTAGAAATATTTTCTGAGCTATTACGTGATCAAATATAATATAAAGGTTAGCACTCAAAAATTAATAGCAAGTATACTAATTGTTGTTAAGAACATTATTGTCGATATAGTAATTATTATAGCCTTGTGAAGGCTTCAAGCAATGCAGTATTATCCCTATTTTACATATAAAGAAAGCAATGGTCAAGACAAGATGAGAGGAAACTGGTTATTCAAGGTCAGAGTAAGAGTAAGCGGCAGGATCAAAACTAAACCATATGGTCTGGATGGCTCAGCAGTTAGAGCCCTAGCAGATCTTTCAGAGGACAGGATTAGGTCACAAGAACCATGTTAAGCAGCTCACAACTGCTTCTAACTCCAGCTCCAGGCAATATGGCACCCTCTTCTGGCCTCCTTGAGTACCTGCACTTACATGCACATAAACACATACATTAATAATAAAAATTAGACTTAAAACCTTCTCAACTAAAACCTAGATGTGTAAATTCTTTGACTAGAAATAGTTGGGGGACAAAGAATGCCACAATTATCCAGGTAACTTTACCATTTAAAAAATTTATTATTTTTTAATGTCTTGGTTCTCTTTTAAGTGAGGTTAGCTAAATGGGAAGGATAATGCACAGGGTCTTATGATACCTCTCATTGTATAGTAATATTTACTCCTACTCTAATGCTATAGCAATCAAACTTTAGGATGGGAATCTTAATAAACTGAATTCACAGGATCATAGAGTAGAATAATGGTTTCCAGAGGCTTGGAGGGTGTAGAAAAAAAATAAGTGATATTGATAAAAGAAAATCTACAAAGTTCAATTATATAAGGGCATAAATAGTTTTTAGTCTAACATGTAGCATGATGACTAAAGTTAATAATAATGCCCTTTATTCTTAACATTTACTAAGTGGGTAGACCTTCAGTGTTCTCAAAAGACATAACCACTAATAGTAGGTATAACAACATCTGGTGATGGCTGTGTTGTTAGCTTCATTTGGGACATCATTTCATAAAAGAAACACACAAAATCATCATGTTGTATACCTGAAATATATACAGATTTTATTTGTCAGCTATACCTTTAAATTGAAAAAAGACAATTTATATGACTGTTAACCTGCTGTTTTCTGGCCACTCAAGCTGGAATTGAGTGGGGAAGGAAATGGGTAGTATAGAAATGCTACTGTAACATGGTATTGAAATGGACATGTGTGGTGAGTTTTTCTCCTATGAAAAGAAGGAATATAGACCACTCAGAGCAAGTTTACTCTCCATCAGCTAGAAACCTCACTGATTTCAATATCTGTATTTATATAGAGTTATGGGTTGCTTATTTATTAGCACTTCAGCACCAGCCGTTCATTTCTGGATTTTCTCTGTTTTAGGAGCCTTGTTGATACTGTTTATGCCTTGAAGGATGAAGTCAAAGAACTGAAGCAGGTAAGACATTATCAAAGTCAGCTTCCCACATAATAGAATTGCTCTGTCTTCTTGGCCACCAGCTGGGAGCTGGTGTCAGGTAGAGTCCAGGAGCAAGGGATTGAGGGAGAATTTGTAGCTTCTTTGTGTTGTTATCAGGTGGGATTTATTTCTTTAATCATGTGACCTTGAATTTCTGAGACTTACTATTTAGATCTGTGCAGTAGCAAAGTCCCAAACATAGACACTACTTTCTCACTCTCTCACATCTTAAAAGGAAAAAAAAAAATGTAAGTAAGCCCAGGTATGGGGGCGCCTGCCTGTAACCCTAGCAACTGGGAAGGTTGAAGCAAGGAGATCATGGCTTTGCTTGCCCAGGCTCTATAGCAAGATCTTGTCAAGGAAAAGTAAAGAACAGAAGGGAATAATAAAGGAGAGATCATTTGTGCATTTACTGGTGATGTGGCCCTATGCTCTGTGACTTGCACTCTACCTATATGATGAGACTGATTGTATCTTGTGACGATGGGGAGGATACGGAAGAGGAAGGTATAGAGCCTGCAGGAACACTCGTGGAATTCTTAGCAAATTTTGGGTGGGGCATAGCAAAGTCCTGAAGTGAGGCAGGCCAGTGAGGACTTAAGGAGTAGCACAAATGTAAAAAGACATTGTAGAGCTGGAACCTATGGCATATGATGGCATAGTGCTGGAATTAAGAGAGAACAGACATTAGTAATCTTCTCTCCTGGCTATCTAATTTTCTATGGTAGGCATCCTTTCAGAGATTCAGAAGCACTGGAAGAGGTTTGGAGTGATGGGGGGAGGTGATGCTAAGTTCCCTTTAGAACCTAGTAAGTTAAACATACTTCTAATCTCCATAGATAGACCTGCCACACTGGTTTGTCCTGTGAGGCTGGCACCAGAGATAGTTAGGAAGCCTCTTAATACACATTTGTGTTGACAGAGAAGTGACCCTAAATGAAAAAATGTGGAACCAGGGCAGATTCAGTCTTATGGAACACTTGCATTTAAGCAAAGAGTGTATAGGCTGCTTACACACATACAGAAAATGAGGACACAGCCTGGTCTCAGAAGATGCAGTCAGAATGAAGAAGGAGGAGGAGGAACCCTGGGAATGGCTGCCTTGGCTTGGTGATCAACAACTCTTCCCCATTCTAGGAGAATAAGAGAATGAAGCAATGCCTGGAAGAAGAATTGAAGTCGAGGAAGGACCTAGAAAAGCTGGTCCGGAAGCTGCTGAAGCAAACAGACGAGTGTATTCGAGCTGAATCCAGCAACAAGACCCCTATTCTCCCATAAGCATCACTGTGCAGCTGAGGCTAGGGCCTTCAGCACTTGTTGAGATGGCCAGCTGAATGATTGACTGTGCACTTCAGCCTCTGCTTTGTGTTGGGAATCTCTCTCTCTCTCTCTCTCTCTCTCCACCTTTGTTTGCTTGAGTGTTCATTACTTGACTATCAGTTGATCGGTATTTGTTTTAACAGGGGAAACTACCTGGGTGGTGATAAAATAGCCCCAATACTTTGGTATGCCCAACAGCCCTTTACTACCTAATTAGCTGAAGGCAAAGCTTCGCAGCCTATGTCTAGAGTGGGTGAAACAACACCTTTGTCCAATGACCCAGCTGTCACATGGCTTCCACACTTTAAAAATTCTTGTCCTGCATCGTCTGTTAAGACCAAGGGCAGTGTAATGCCCTTATTCCCTTTGTGCTGGTGTACATTTGAAGTCAGTGGGGTAGGAACTCCAACTGTCCACACCAGCACTAAGTCCATCAGCAAACAGCTTCAGCCCCTCCCCACCGGAGCAGCAGAGCAGAGCAGCTATTCCTAGTGCACTACAGCTTGACAGCCCAAACTTCTGCCTCTATGTAATTTTCTACCTCCCCCTAAGCCCTGTGCTTTTAGCCAGCTATACCAAGTGGTGTGCAAAGTAGTGTGGATGTGCTTTGCTTATTTTGTTCGTTACAATGAGCAGTGACTTTGCCTTCAATAGTCAAATTCCAACCTTTCCACCTTTCTAAACAACCTGGGTGACAAGATACCATGCTCTAGTACACACCTTCCATCCCACCTCATCAAGCTCTGGTTGCTGCAGGGAGAAGTTAGACTCATCATTGGCATCTTTGGTGGTTGCCTTGAATATGACGAGCCAGTTAGTGTACCCTGAGTGAAAGGGCCTCCCCACTAGCCGTGCTGGCTGCTAGTGAAGCCGACTGTCTGCAAGTAGTTTGCACAAGTTGTTTATAAAGCCCCAAACCATTGACTTTGTCAGTAGTCCAGAAATCTGAACTCTGAGAAAGCAGATCCAGAAGAGCGCCCCAGAATAACACTGTGCACAGGTCAAAATGGGCCAGGGCTGCAGGATGGGGCCGGGGTAACTTGGCCAGATAGCAAAGTCACTTAAAGAGAGTCAGAAAGCCAGCAAAGTTTATATGTATATTTGATGGGTGTCTGTAAGTGCTGTTTCAAATCCAAACTCGAGGCCTAAAATCTTGTTGAGGAGCCTTTTTACTTTCATGGTACAGGGCTATTGTCTCCTGTTACACGGATGACATTCTAGCCTCAGACTATTGCACACGGCTGTCTTTGACAGCTTGGGTGAAGGTTTCTAAGAATGGCTGTCCTGTTTCTAAGCCCAGACATTTGTATGAGACATCTTTCATGTAAAATTAAAAAAGAAATAAGAAACAACAGTAGTAACCCAGATGTTCACATGTGTCTTGTCTGTGCTTAGTCAAGAGTTTGCAATAAATGTGCAGATTTTGTCCCTAGGAAACACTTTAGTGATTACCAAATAATTTAGTTGATTGCTTAGAACATTGAAAGGTCTCTAAAAGGATGTGTACATATGCATGTTTGGGGACTTTGCCCTTCTAAGGAGAGGCCCTTGGTACTTGGGATATTGAAACTTGTGCAGTGGGCTGCCCGTGCTTACACACTAAATAATATAAAGGAAATGAAGCCATGTTAACCCAACAGCCGCGTCTTCATAGTTGTGTTGTTTACAATACTCTATAAATGGGTTCCTTTTCCTCTGTAATTAAACTGCTGCCCTTAGAGGCCTTTCAGTTTCTTCTCTGTCATGTCCCTTCTTACAGCAACTCAGATTTTCTAAACTTGTTTTTATTTTAAAGACTTTTAAAATGGACATTTTCAATAAACAAGAATAAACAGTGCTTTATAAATAAGATCATTTGTTTATTTTTTCTACTGATTGATGTTCAGGAAGATTTTTGTAGTTGGAAGTTTCTAGTCCTGCCTACCAGTTCCCAAATAGCCACTCTAAGGCTTAGTACTCATTACAATATTTTGGTCAATGGCTCAGGCATATTACTAACTAGCTCTCACAATTAAATTAACCCATTTCTATTATTTTATATTTTACCATACGTAGCTCATGGCTTGTTGCCTCACTTCTAGCTTCCCCATCGACTCTATAGTGTCCCCCTGACTCTGCCCTCTTTTTCTCCATAACTCTGTTTGGATTTCCTGTCTAGCTATATTCTGCCTGGTCATTGGTCAAGACAGCTCTTTTCATCAACCAATAAAAGCAGCACATATTCACAGCATACAGAAGGACATCTTGCATCAGGGTTTTTAAAAGTATTATTTTATTATCAGCTGACAAATACAAATTACATATTGGTGACAATAGTGTGACCTTTCAATCCACACGTGTGTCATGTTCTCTATAGTCATAGGCTAATTTAACATACTATTTATCACTTCAAATATTATCGTATCTGTAGTAAGAACATTTAAAATCCTAGTTTTTAACTCTTGAAATATAAAATATAGTATTAACCATATTCGCTATATGGTATATGGATGAATTCTTCCTGTTTTACTGAAACTTTGTTCACTTTGGTCAAAATAATGCCCTTTCTCTTTCTCCACCCAGGCCCTATTTTACCAGCTACTTCCATGAGTTTCTGTTTTTATATTCCATGTATGAGGACTGAGATGTGCAGTATTCATCTTTATAAATAAGCCTGTCTTATTTCATGTAGCACAATTCCCTCCAGGTTAGCTAAAGATGTTACAAATCAGTTTCCTTTTGAAGGCCAAGTAGTATTCATCTATCTAGTTATAGATTCTTACCTTCATTCTATCTATCTATCTATCTATCTATCTATCTATCTATCTTGAGGCAAGGTCTCACAGTGTGGCCATGGGCACCCTGAAACTCACTGTATATACCAGGCTGACCTTGAACTCACAGAGATCTGTTTGTCCTGGCTCCCAAGTGCTGTGATTAAAAAGTGCACACCACCATGCCTAGGTTATTCTAGATCATGCCTAGGTGAATAGTACTACAATGAACATCAGAATGCAGCCAGGTCTTCAACATAGTGAATTTGTTTCTTTTAGAAATGGCGAGGAGTAGGTTGATGTTGGAAATTTTAGGTAGTCCATTCTCATCAGGCTTCCCCCAACCTACCTTTTCCACTTAAGCTTCTATTTCATTGATCACCCCCTGTAAAATAGTGAGCAAATGTCATCTACTGGTGACATAGAAATTCCCTTACCTTCTCTATCTTTCATCTTCTGATCTCAACTTACAAACCACTTGAAGTGCATCTCACAATTTTCCTCCCAATATTGTCCTATCCAGGTCCTATCCCTCTTGTCTTTTGTAACAGTTTGTCAGTCTGTGATATTTTCAATTGTGGTCTCTGGTGTCAGAAGTCAGGATGAAAGTATTTGCGCTGTGGGCTGGGGAGATAAATCAGTTGATGGACGTTCTTGCCATGAAAGCAGGAGACTCTGAGCTAGAACATCAGAATGCATGTAAAAGTGGTGGTGTGGTGGCATGCACCTATAACCTCAGAACTGAAATTGCAAAGACAGGTAGATTCTTGGGGCTCGCTGGCCATCCAGTCTACCCTGCTCACTGAGTTTCAGGCCAGTGAGAGACTATCTCCAAAACTAAGGTGTGGCTGGTGAGATGGTTAAGTGAGTAAAGGTGTCTGCCATAAAAGCTTAAGTGACTTCAGTTCAATCCTCAGAACACACATAAAGGTGGAAGAACAGAACCAACTTCACAAAGTTGTCCTCTAACCTCTCCTTACTCATGATGCTGCATGTGCATGTCTTATCCATCATAAATATACACAGTCGTAATAATAAAGTTCAAAAAGTCCAAAAGACACATGAGCCCTGCCCAAAGAAACCTGATGTTGAGAAAAAATGAATTGAATATTGTTTATTGCTCTATGTGTCTATTCCTATCCCATTGTTAAGCACAACTCTACAGCTAGAACAGAGTAACAGTCTTACTTAGTTTCAGGTACCTTCCCACTTTAAAGTCCTAAGGGAGAGCAACTCTCAATATCGTGAATCTGGTCTTGTAGCGATAGTTGAATACATTGCAAAATATGTCCCAACTGGAAGTCCAAGAATGTTGTAGAATATTATTTTAACTATGTAAACATGTGTTACATTTGTTTATGCTGCAGAATCTTACTGTAACTGTGTAAAGGCATGCTACTTTTGTTTATGCTGCACCTGTTTAATAATAGAAAGATGTGTTTATTTACATAAACACATGTTGCATGTTTTACCCTGTCTAGGCAGCTGACTGGTCTAATAAGCTGAGTGGCGAAGAGCTGGGCAGAGAAAGGCTAGGCGGGGAGGGCTGGCAGAGAGAGAATACATAGGAGAATTCTAGGTTCGACAGGAGATGAAGGCAGAAGAAGAGAAGGAGGAGAGAAGGGTGACATGCCCGAGGCAAGGAGCTGGGCATCTGCCAGCAAGACAGACACAGAGAAGGAGTGAAAGTAAGATCTACAGCAGCAAGAAAGGTATTGAGCCCCAAGGCACAAGGTTGACAAAGAGAAACAAGTTAAGTTTAAAAAGCTAGCCAGAAGTGAGCCTAATCTAGGTAAGGCATTTGTAACTAAGAACAAGTCTCTGTGTCATGATTTGGGAGCTGATTGGTAGCCTAAAAGAAAAAACCTGGTGCACAGGAGTCTATAGCTGTTTCTGTGTATGTGGGCTGCTCCTGTGCTGAAAGTGTCGCAGCACATATTTGCATTTTGTGGTTACTTGCTTCCTACCTAATAGCAAAGACAGCAATATTTTATACTTTGTTTATTTAGAAAAATGGTTGAATGCTTCAATTATTCCTGGCCCACCATTCCATGGAACGGAGAAGTAACACGTTTATGAAGCTGGCACTATGGGCTAGGGCTGTGTCTCAGTTGGTACACTGCTTGCTTAGCAAGCATGAAGCCTTGGGTTTAACCCCTAGTACTGGGTGAACCAGGCATAGTGGCATAGGCTTATAATGTCAACAAATGGGAGGTGGAGGCAGGAGGATCGTTGGTCAAATCAGGTTTCTGGTTTGTTAAACAGGATAAAGATGCCATTCTGTGGAATGACCATCATACAGGTAGCAAGATCAGGAGTTCCATCTGTATGCATTGCATCGAAGGGCCCGAATCCACTGCTGAGATGCAGGGAAATTACTCAAGCTATTACCTGAGTAACGTGACTCACTCCTGCCATCCCGAGAGGATGAGAATTGGAGGCAGGAAGATCTTCAGAGATTTGAGCCCAGCAAGGAATACAAAGTGAGGACTAGGCCAGCCTGGGCTACAGAGTGAGGTCCTGTCTCAAAAGCATAGCCAAAGCAAACAAATAAAAACCCCAACAACGCCCATTCCACCAATACCCCACCGGTAACACATAGGTGGTTATTAAACGCGTGAATCTAGTAGAGAGCGCCTGTGGCATCTAGGAGAGACGAAGGGCTGCACTTAGAGTCTTTTGAAAGAGAAAGGGGACCTTGAGGAAATGAGGTGAGAGGCTGAGTGCTTTTGGCTGTTTGGGGGGAAACTTTAGAGAAAAGGTTCCGTGGGAAGTGGCATGTAGAGGGCAGTAGAGCCTGCAGGAAAGGAGGAGGCAGCCAGGAAAATGCAGTGGTGTTTTTAAACTGCTTTATTTTATGTATTTAACCGTTTTCATTTCTTTTACAGCCCGACCACCAGTTTCCCCTCTCTCCTCTCCTCCCATTTCCTCCCCCTCCCCTCGACTCCTGTCTACCTCCCTCCCCATCCACTCCTTTTCCATCTTGAACAACAACAACAACAACAAAGATTGCAGTGCTTTCCAGCAATGATATCACTTCCGGTTACAAGCATTGAACTCATTGATTAATTGAACGAAAGTGTCTCAGTGTGCATCCCTGGCTAGCCTGGGTATCACTACAAACACCAGGTTGGCCTGGCATGTGCTGCAATCCTCCCTCCTCTCCCCTGGCATGTGCTGCAATCCTCCCTCCTCTCCCCTGAACCATGCTTGTATCTCAGTTGTGCAGCGCCGCCCAGCCCCGCGTTTTTGAAAAATATTCCACACTAGAAGTAGAAATAGTTTAGAAGATACTGGCTCCCAATGAGCAAGAAGGTAGGCTGAAACCCAGGACAATGTTTAAGTTCAGAGGACGTGCATCTATGAAGATTATTTTTAAAACTCTGCCTGGGTGTTCTGGTCTTGTTGTACAGACATTTCGAGGAGATAATGTTTACAAAGTGGTCAGCCCTGAAACCATATACACAGAAACAACAACAACAAAAAATGGACTCAGTGGATTCTAGTTATATATACATACATATATATATGTATATATGTATCTATATCACTAATAATAAAATAAAAAGGGACCATCATCAATTTGAGAGTGGGGCCATGGCAGGAATTGGAGGGAGGGAACTTGGGCAGGACTGTAGGTAGGAAAGGAAAGGGAGACAGTGATGTAATTATATTTTAACTAAAATGTATAAAAATAAAATAAATCTATCCAGGTAACAAACTCTACTAATCCAGTGATGTCTCTTGCCCACAACCATCCCTACTGTCTAACTCAGACAAAATGAATAAGGAAGATTATTCTGCAACATGGCCATTTATCTGCTGCAAGGAAGAAAGACTTATGTTGTATGTTTTGTTGGTCTCTCTTTTGACGGAGCCAATGCCTTCCTTAAAGTAGGCTTAGGATTCTGGCCTTCCTAAGGAAGGCTTATAGTGTAACAGCATCATGCCACTGTCTACTAGGCTGCCATGGCTGCTGCCTCATGTCCTTCAAACCTCTTATGTAGAGGTTTGTCTGTCAATGCTTTTTTCCTATTTACAGTATTTTACACAGACTCTAGAGCCTCACACTTGCCAGAAAAGCACTCCACAGCACAGCCACCTTGATCCCCATTAGAAATTAATATAGGACAAGGATCTTGGCTGCTGGAGGGCAGAAATGCACACTGCACTTAACTTCTAGTGAGTTGTTAAAGCCACAAACATCGCTCTTGTTCATACTAAAGGTCTCTTGTTGGGGATGTGTGCAGACACACAAGATTGTCTCTGCGTGGTTTCAGCTTTACAATGTGTTCTCGTAATGCAAGAGCTGCAGTCAAGATACAGCTGTGCCATCCATACTATTGAAGAAGGAGGACATGAGGAAAGACATTTTCTCCTGCCCCTCTTCATTTCTACAGTAGCATTTGTTTTTGTTTTTGGATGAATGTGTTTCTGTCGAGCAAAACACCCCACCCCCAGTTTAGCTGAGTTCCTTGCATCCTCGTTTATTCCACCACCCTTGGAGGCTGCAAGAAATGACTCCATTGGCTTTAGTGGGAAGGCTCTGGGGCCAATAGCCATCCTCACGATGCTCCAGCTCCATTTCCTCTTGAGAAGAGTGGAGCAGTCATGAAGAAGATTTGCCACTGCTTCTCATGTAAGGCTCTCTCCAGTCTGTCCTAGCTGTGATCAATCTCTTGCAACCTTCACAGAGCAAGTTGGAAGTAGAGGCCCAGGGTGCTTTTTACCAACCGGACCTCCAAGTCATCTATCAAAGGCTATGGCAGACTTACAGAGACTATACTGTCACTGAGACAGCTTGCTTTGTGCTCAGCTAGAGAGCTAAGTTTATGGTAACAGCCAAATATGTCGGTAAAAGTCCCTCCAGTACTTACTTCCTCCTCCCCGACTTGACTGAGATCTACAAGTACTAAACAACAACAACAATTGTAAAGGCTCTTTATTATTCAAAAATAAATAATAACATAATCATTAAGTTCACTACAGGAACAATGGAGACTGCAGGGAGCTACACCAGATTCCTTTAAATACAGTCATCCCACGATGAGGAATGGGCAGGCCAGGAGCTGCTGTCTACACTGCCCTTACAGTGCTGTAGACAGGGACAGGGTAGATAATAAGAGAACCAGTCAGCAACAGCATGACTCTGTGTGTGTGTGTGTGTGTGTGTGTGTGTGTGTGTGTGTGTGTGTGTGTGCATGCACGCGCACAAGAGAGAAAGAGAGAGAAAAGAGACTGGAGAGATTGAAAGACTGAGTGTTGAGTATGGGGGGAAGGTGGAGGCAGAGTTTCTCAGTTCTCCCTGGGAGACTTTAGAAACTGGCCTATTGGGGCCACAGAGACCCCAAGTCAACCATAACAGATTGTGAGTTAAGGCTCACAGTTGCCCTTCTGTATCTTTCCTGGTAAGTCAAGTGCATTGTCCACTGAAAGACACACTCATAAAGCAACACAACTGGGCTTGGTCAATTATCTACTGTTTCATCCGAGCTCTGTCATCTGTGCATTATGGCTTTGTCTTTTCCTAGGGCTCTCTGGTTGGATGCATCAGTAGAGTTGCTGTTTCTGATGATAAGCTCTTAGGGAGCAGGGTCCGTTAGGATTTTGCTTGCCCTGGAATTCTCTTCTTCCAGCTCTATGTGCCTTGGGGTACATAATAAATAGTTCTCCATGAGGAGGGTCCAAGGGTTATAAATAGGCAGTTCAACAGGGGCGGGTCCTAACGATTTGCTGTATAGGGAAGACTGTCAGCTTCAGCCCTGCTGCAGCCTAGGACAGCACACTGGTCAGAGTTTGAGTAAGCCGAAAGATGTGAAGCCGATTCCGTGGATCACTTGGCTTGCATCAGTCACATTGACAAACAAAGAGGTGTCTTCTTGTAATTCAAATACTCCTCCCAAGTGAACTGACTGTTGGCCACAGGGTTTGGAGGAACTGTGGGTGTTTGCTGCCCTGAGCAAGATTCTCTCAGATCCACTGGTGGACTTCAGACAGAGGCTGACTAAAAATGGATCTTTATTCGAAGGTTCCTGATTAGAACAGAAGGTGACTTGGGTGTAGACATAATAGAGTCCTTGTCTTTTAATAGTCAGTTGTCTCCCACTTTCGAGTATTACCAAGTTGTTTTTCATGGTATAATATCCTTTCTTGGCCCACTGCAGAACTGTAATAAAGAGGAGGAAATCCAGGTGAGCATAAGCATAGCATGGCAATATTCTAACAGGATATAAAGTTTAAGTTTGGATGTTGCCTTTATGTGAAAATGAATTCTCAAGGCACCTTGTGGCCAACAGAGGCATGGAGAATTATAGATACCAAGTTAACATGGACTTCAGAGTCAGTGTCATCTTGCAACCTGGGTTTTATTCAAGCTTGGGCAAGTCACTTGATCTTCCCAAACTGAAGTTCCTCGGCAACAGGATAGGGACAATATGAAAGCGTAGTTCAGAGACTTGGAAATGTTAAACAAAGCAGCAGGTAACAGCAAGTTTTTCTCTCTCCAGAGTTCTCTGAGCCAATTTGCTCTTGAATTTAATTAAGTGCAAATGATCAGCCAGACATGGTGACATGCACCTAGAATTCCCAGACACTGGGGCAGGGAATCTTTAGTTCAAGGTCAATGTCATCTTTGGCCACATAATGACTTTGAGATCCATCTAGGCTAAGTGAGACCCTGCCTCAAAATAGCAACACAAAAGGGACTAGAGAGAGTGTAAAACAGGATCACAGGAACATGATGGTATCCACGCTACATGAGAAAACATGAGTCCCAAGTCCAAAGAAAGCCCCTGCTTCAGCAGAGTAGGTGTAGAGTGATGTGACAAGGGTGTCCTCTTCTGATCTTTGTGTACTCCCACTATCCTTCACTTTATACATGCACACAGACATACATATGTGAACATGCGTAAATGAACGAACGAAAGAAAAAGTGGTTTGAAAATGAAGTGCAAATGCTTTAAGAATTATGCTCAGCATAAAATGTGTGTGAATATTTAGCTTATCGTGAATTCTACAGAGTCGTCAGTCTACCTAGATTAGTAACAGCTCAGAAACAAGACCCTATTTCTTCCTCCTACCTTATGCTGTTGCAGACCTGACCTTCCTCCCACGACCAAGCCGAAAATAGGCAAGGAAGTATGAAAATAAGCCATGTTCTCACTTAACTGTGTTTTGATCTCTCCTTGTAGTGGGTGCCACCAACATGAAAGTACCCATATTCTTGTGGCTACAGCAGAGTCCCCAGCAACAGTGTGCCATTTTCTCTGCTGAGATGTTGAGTGGGTTCAAAGTTGCATGTGGACATGATTTAAAATCTCAGCTTCCACAGAAATCTAGGTTTGATGGGGCTGAGAGGTAGGAGGTGGGGAGCATTAAAAGGAGTGGTATATTTGCTTTCTTGAGATTTCCCAAGTATTTTATTTGGTGGCCTTACATCAACTAGGACATAAGATTCTTCTTGTACAGACATTTTTTTTTTTTTTTTTTTTTTTTTTTTTTTGCATAGGAAGGCATCTCACCATACCTGATATTTCTGGGTACCCCAAATTCTCCATAAAGGATGTTTGCTTAATGTTGTTTTCACTTTTGGAGGATTTGATTCAGAAACAAGGAGCAGATTCTCTCCTTTTTAATGGATTAGGTCCCCCCTTTCATTTTTTTTCTTTTCTGAAACAGGGTCTCAGTACATATTCTTTGCTGGTCTGCAACTTGCTATGCAGACCAGGCTAGCCTAGAACTCATATCCACCTGCCTGTCTCCTGTCCCCTTTTAGACAACCGGATTTCATGTAGCCCAGGTTGGCCTAGAATTGGCTTTGTAGGCTAGGATAATTTTAAACATCTTTTCTTTTGTGCTCCCATCCCTAACACTGAGATTACAGATGTGTGTCACTAGACCCTGCTTTTCTCTTTGTTAATTCATTCACAAGCTCTTTCTAGGGCATGTAGGTCAAGTTTGTAACATTATGTCCAGATCAACCGTGATATAGAGTGGAAGGTATTTCCCAGGCAGTACCAATTCTAGGCCTTTTGAAAAATTCAAAATTCCACGAATTATATCCAAGTAACAAAAGCTAGAGCTTGACAAAGATGAGTAGGAATTGATTCTAAGAGGTTTCTCTGCTGCTATAATCTATTGCAAAAGTGAATACGTCATGTGAATGGCTTCCCTGGACACAGCAATAATTGTGGTGTTTTCCCACAAGCATATTTTTTAGAGAATGTAATATGACAAAGTTAATAAATATTATTGGAACAACTGGCCTCCATGAAGGACTTTACGTCATTCTGGATATCACAGTGAAGTAAGCTAAGTACTGGCACCTTACTCAGGTATAGCACAGCTTAATAATTCAACACTTCTCCCACATTAGTTGATTTGGTATTCAAAACTACCCAGTGAAGTATGTGAGAAAGAAAACTGCCACAGAATGAATGGGGTTTGTCAAAAGTCAATCAGTACGTGGTTCATGGCTCTTGAACCCCAGTGTTCACGAACTCCCTAATCAGGACTCTATGTCTATGCTGAAAGCCAAAATTTCATGCATGTGCTTCTGTGTTTTACCCACTGAGGAGCTCAAGTCATCTCAGAGACAGAATACTGTCTTCTTTGTTTTTCATCCTCTCTCTTTCCCCCTCTCTCTCCTCCCTCTCCCCCCCTCACACAAATGCACAACATGACTTAGAACTCCGTTGCAGAACACTCTGCTGAAGCTTTCAAATGCTGCTCTGATGCTCATCCTTCTATACAAAGGAAGTTTTATGCTAGCATACATGTTTCCATCCATCTATAGATGTGACACATTCTACAGCATCAGCTAACACAAGGTAGAGTTTTGGGGAAAAATAAGGGCTAGGATGATGATAGGATATATATGGAAATAAAAGCATTTGGTGTTGAAAAGATCACGGTATGCCATCTGTTGTTACTTCATTGAAAAATCTAACATCTCCGAGCCCATTGATCACTACAAAATGATTTTACTTTTAATTTCCCTGAGGTCAGCCCCACTGAGGCTGGGGTTAATCATTCTGAAATTGACAGATGACAAAAAGACCTCCTGAGACCCATTTATATACAGTGAAGAGGTCTTAGGAAGAGAGATGTTCGCAGTGAGGAGGCCACTACCTGCCATCTCTTTTTATGCTTGCAAAATAATGATTCCTCCACCCAGTCATTCCTCATTTAGAATCAGCCACTGAGCAAAAACATAATGAGAACATCGGGACTCTTTCCTACCTCCTTTTGTCACTCTAAGTCCCAGCTGTGCATTTGAGCTGACTTTGATAACAAAGGACAGTGTTTGAGAGTTATATGGGTAGGTTTGTAAATTGGTCCCTGGAGGAAGAAAAGTGCCTAATGATTAGGCTGCATAGCTTTGGAGTACCAGCCCCACCACACACACACATATATACTCATACTCATGCAGTTGGGTGGCTTTCACTCAGATGCTATGGGACTTACCAGAAGCTGTTTTACTGTTGGCCTCACTTACAACATGTACTGCAATTTGAGGATCCTCATCACCTGAAATGAAACCAAAAGCACACTTTCAGGCCAAGGAAGTGTACTACACCCATGGAATTAATGGGTCCAGTTCTACAAATGCATATTAGCTAGAGTAGTTTAACTTAAAGGATGGAAAACTGGTCAGTCCTTCCCATTGAAGGATTGGTTTCAAATACATTAAAAACTGTATTGGCTATTTCCATTGATCCTTTTCTCTGATATTCAATACTCAATTCCACTTAACACAGAGGGACACAGACTAAAACATTTATCTTCATTAAATCTGCCTTGGATCTTGCCAAAGCAAGAACAACTGCCATCTACTTGAGTGGTAGTGGACACCAAAGCTGTGGCTGAGCCCTGAGCTAGTAATAGGAGTATGGGTCTGATTTGGTTAAGTGTCTATCCAGACTATCAAACTGAGCTCTCTTTCTCTTGCAAGAGCCTTGCTTCCCAATTAAAAGTGTTCGTCTCCTAAGTATAGAAACCTCGGATGCTATCTTTCCAGTTATAAGCCTGGGGCTGAGAACTTTGTGGGTATATTATGAATGATGTTTCGATGACAAAATTATGCATGACCTAAAAGACCAATTTGGTCAAATTGATTTGTTTGAAGACAAGCATCCACATGGCCTTTTTTTAAAAAAAAATCTCACTGCAATTAGCAGATAACATGGCATCACTGAACAGATCTCATAGTCCCTATGGGGCTGAAAGCTTCAGGGGAATCAGATGAGTCTTGGGCATCAGACCAGTGGTTGAGACAGGTTGGGAGGACTCTCTTCATCTAAGAAAATGGCATCTATGCCTTTCTTCGTGTGCATTAGATTTGGGTAGCTGCAGCACTGTGTCCAATAACTTCGTAATGTAATAGCTTCTACAACAGCATCCTTCCCCTTTTCTACTAAAGTCACCCCACATATTACTGGGTTTGGGGTGCTGTATTCTAAAAAGGACTAGAGAGATTTATGTTAAGAAAAGAAAATAACTGGGAGATGAAAGAACCCGGAAAGGATCGTAAAGGGAACAGTGGAAAGTGCTAGGCATCCTTAGCCTAGATAAGAAAAGGTTCAATGGAAACTCGGGGTCATGGCTGCTATCTTCAGTAACCAGATAGCTGCCATATAGGGAAGTAATTATTCTTTGGTTAGTATGGCTTTAAAGAACAGAAATGTGTTCAGTAAGCAAGCATTCCAGGAATTTGGGGTAAGACTTTTTGAATAGATGTTGACCTTAATATAATTAATTATTAGAGCTGTATACTGGGTTTGGAAGCCATCAAGGCCACTTCCTGACCTCTACATGTCCAGCACACTCTCATTTCAGGAACAAGGCAAATATTAGAATGTAGTATTATGTTCATTGATCCCAGAGAGCCACTGGGTACTGTCCTCTCTCAAAATAGTTAACATTGAATAATGAATGTCTTTTTTTTTTTTTTTTTAACCAAATGACGACTGGTCCTCTGAAGGTGGAGCCAGATTGTGTGACTGCTTGGATAATGGTATTGGATATGGGGTTCCTTCATATTTGCTATTACCAACGTTACAGGAATATATCCTCATTAATGTGGACATAAAAAGCCTTTCTGTATCACTGAGGCCTGAGAGGGAAGCAATTTGACAAATGTCTTTAATTTCCAGGGCTAAATGTTTTCTGTTTCATGGGGTCAACCTAAAGCTTCTTTTTTACTCTTTAAGAATGTATAGAAATAGGTAAATAGCAACATACCTTTTTGCATTTCGTAGCTGTTTTCTTTTTTCTCTTCCGTGTTTAGCCTTATATCCTAAAAGGAGAACCATTGCAAAAGATCAGTTGGCAGAAGCTCTGCTTCAGGGGTTTTCAAGGTCTCATTCATTTGGCAATTGTCAGTACTGTGTTGCCCATGCCTGGTGAGGATTATAATATAGTCTAAGATGCTGTCGTTAATTCCACCATAGCAATTGGGAGTTCCTGGCCCTGACAGATGAGCTGACAGCCCAGAAAACTCAAGGGAGATCCTGGAAGCAAAATCCAGGCCTTATTATCTCCATTACCATGCTTTCCTCAGACCAGAGGTTGTGATTCTGACCCTTTCTGTGACCCTGTCCTCCCTGCCTTTGACAGATATTGATGAATAATGCTGAATGGGGCAATAATTCAACACTGGGAAACCTGCATGTGGAATATTATCAAACACAATAGAGGGGTGGTTCTGTTCAAATAAGGTTGCTTTACAACCTCATAGGAAAATATTTGAATATGATCATGGAAGAGAAATCCAGATTTTCTCTTTGAATGTGCTTTTGTGGATAGCTATCCTGTGTGGCCTGTACTTATTTAGAGTAATCAACATTCAGCAAATATAGGCCATCTCCTAATGTTTAAAACACATAGTTTCATAGTTTCTTGTTTCTATTTTAAGATTTTATTTTGTTTATTTTTTTTTGGAAAAATCTGTTTTTGTGTTTTTAAGACAGGTTCTTATATAGCCTAGGCTAACCTTGGACTTGGTATGAAGCTGGGAGTGACCTTGAATTCCTCTACCTCTCAAATGCTGATTACAGGCATGTATCACAATGACTAGTTATATGCAACACTTAAAGATTTCTTTTACATATAAGGTGAAAGAATGCTAGGTTGACTTAAGGAAGCTAACCCAGACTTCCTTCTATGTAGATTGAGAGATGATAACAGCTACCGCCGCCATTTTAAGGAGACCAACTGAAAGGCCTGGCAAGTATGAGGTTATCCAAAGGGTCTAAGGATGAAATGAAGTACAGAAAGTAGGATCACATTCATAGACCTGGCTCAGTGTGTTTCGTCACGCTGTTCTGAACAAGAGAGGACAGAGAACAGTAGCGCTCCCACATCTGATAGTCCTTTACTCCCTGACGTTCCTGGAACCCCGTGTCTTCACTTTCATCACCCCAAGAAGGCATGTTGTTACTCTCAGCTATTTTAGCTGTACACTCAGCTGGGTTGCCAGACATGAGGGCATAAGGCACGGAGTCCCAAAGTGGAATCTGAGCCTCGCAATGTTCACATGGGCTACACAGATGTTCACATGGGCTACACGAGTCAACTTTCCATTTGAGCTACGATGGGGCACTATGATAGTGTGGCAACAGGAAAATGTTTGTGAGCTAACAAGTAAACAAATGACTGGTGTCTTTTCAAACACTACTGTGTGATGATTGAAGTTAAGATACTATTAGGCTAAGTGTTTGCAGTGCTGTTGGGACCTGGCCCAGCTGAAAAGCATGAAGTCAGCAAAGTTTGTCTTTTATGCACCCAGTCTTGCCTTTTCTTGAACTTTCCCCCAGCCACACTCTCCTGAGCCTTTGTTTTTTCTTTTTTCTGTTTTTGCTTCACTCTTCACTTAAACTGAAAGGTCTTTTAAAGTCAAATTTCAGAAAAATCTTGAATTAATGATTTCTGAAGTGGAAATGATTTGATGTCATCAAAGGCACCTCAGACATTGGTAGACAAATAACCATGAGACTGACCATTCTAGACAGACAGTGAAGTAGATTTTTAAGGTGTAATTACACTTTCCAAAATGGTGCCTCCACTTGCCCTAACTTGAGCTCTGACTCCCATCTCCCTCCCACAGAGAGAGCTCTGTGATACTTGTCTCTGGAGTTAACGAGCTCTTTGTCATGAGAGGTATTTAAATGAAAATTGGGTGACCAATTCGCAGAGACAGTAGAGAGAAGACTGAAATTCTAAGAATTGAGAATTGCATCCGATTATACCATCAGGCACTGTGACTTCAAGGTTGTTCAGGGCCAGCCAGATCATGGTCTATAGCCTGCTAGTATTAGCCGAGAAAACACAAATCTAATGTGGATTTAGTCTACAGTTGACTTGCTGGGCTAAGCAGTGCCAAATACTGTCTGAGCGAGACCTCTAGGGAAATGTAAAGGGGGACCAGTTGATAGAAGAGAATTAACTGGAAAACTTTGCATTTCACCATTATAAAAATCTCAGGTAAAGATGTCATTGCCTGGGACTCCATGGCTGCTGCAGTAGATGCAAGGGACATCCCCAACAGGTCATATAGTACATTACTAGGGCCTTGGCTGATATACCTAAAAAGTCCTACTTTTTTTTTCTCTTTCATACAAACAAAACTGGCTCTTTCCCTTACTCCTATTCTGGATAGATGAACCTGGAAGCTTTGCACATCAGACCTCAACGAGGAAAAAGGGATTTGGCAGATCACCTGTGAAACTTCTCTGTGAGAAGGAAAAATGGGAAAACCCAACAAGCCGCTTTTACCGCCATTCAAGGAAATTGGAGACTGATCGAATAGTAAGAGAATGCTGGGGCTGGTAGTGTCCTTATAGAGAGTCTCACTGCTCCCCCCGACCCCCGTGTTATACAAGAGAAACTCGAGCTGAGACAGATGAAATCATTTATCTAAGGCTATTCAACAAAACATAATCATTATGTTATTTGGGATAATCAACCATTGTCTTTAACACAACTTTATACACAATAAAAAAGTACCTTTCACAAAACCCAGATCAAACTGGACATAGTGGTACCTGCCTGTGGTTAGAAGCAGGAAGATCAGAAGCTCAAGTACAAGGTTTCAGCTACATAGCAAGTTCAAGACTAGTAGAGGCTATACAAGATTATCTTGAAAAAAATCAAAATAAATAAATGCTAGTTTAATATAAAGAACTCAAAAGCCAGTGGCAGATTTGAACTGTATTCTTTACAATCTCCTTCACTGGATTAAATTCCACCTTCTTGACAGTGCCAAAGGATGTGTATTGAGTTCATAAATAAGCTCTTAAAGGACAGTATGGTGGCTCAGCGGGTGAAAGCAGCAAATGCCAAGTCTGAGGATATGAGTTGGAGCCACAGATCCCACATAGTGGAAGGAGAGAATCAAGTCTCAACAAGTTATCCTCTGACTTCCACTACTTACAAATGAAGTAAGAGCTTACATTCTTTACTCCATTATTTGAAAAGTATTAGAATCAATGTTCCGAAGGGAAAGTTTTCAGTGTTCTGTTTCAGGGAAATAGAGCGCCTTAAGCTCATGTCAGTGATGCACTAAACAATGGGAAAATTCTGGAAATTCATGTTTTTAGACATTTAGTTATTTGTAAGCTGGGTGACAGCTGGGTGGTTTGGAAAGGTTCACATCTTTAGCATGAAGTGGCTCCATGGCTGAGTAGGTTACATGGGCTCTACTGTGAGCTGCACTGACAATGGGTATCCCCCTCCCCCTCTTCCCATTCAGTAAAAGGGAAGACCACACTATCCCGCTGCCTGAACACCCTCTCATCACTGGATGAGCACTGAAGACTGGATCAGTCTTCGGGGTTCCTAGTACTGTCAGGACAGGTAGTATCTCCCCTTATGGCCTGGCAAGATGGCACCAGCCAAGCATTACTATTTTCCTTAAGGAACGGAGATCAGACCCTGATTTTACAATGGTAAGATATCAAAGGTTGAATGGAGAAATATAGAACTCCAACTGTATGTGCTGCGTAACTACTGTGTGTGAACCGATGGGCATGTGTCGCTGTGCATGAGAATATGTATTTTCTCCAGAGAAACCCTTTTCTATTGCAGTAATGCGCACATGTCCAACTTTCCTCTTCATTTTATCCTAAGACTTTGTCTGTATTTGAGCTTCTTGTATGTACACATTTCCACACCCACCTATAAGTGCGTACATATATATGTGCACTGCGTGTTTATATGCAACACATTTTGGTAATGTCTCACTCTGTAGAACAAACTGGCCTGGAATTCATGCAGTCCATCATTCTGCTTTGGTGTTACAGTGCTGAGGTTGAAGGTGTGACCACCACACCTGTTTACAGTCGGAAACCTTTCCAGGGTTAGAATTCCATTTGTACAACTAGGACATGTACCAGACTTCTAAGTGACGTCTGCCAGGAACTGAGTGCCTTACCTTGACAGGGTCTTCATATTGCCTTTTCAGGTCCTTACAGTTGATCAAGGGTAAGGTTCCTTCTTCTTTGATGCATCGCTGAAGCTTTTTTATGAATATAAAATCCTCACGAAGGCTTGCTTCCTCTTCTACCTGGTTTGAAATAACAGGCTTATGAGGAATGTCATAGTGAAGAAGAATGCAGCTAATGATGTCTGTCTCCACATTCACTTCCATGGCAGTGAAGAGCATAAGTGGGGAGTATTATAAGTTATTATGCTGGAGTATTGCTCTTTGATGCTTGCCATTGAGCAGCCTCAAAAAGCCAATGAATCTGATGTCATGTTATCTATGGCTCTGGATAGAAATCACAGCTATTCTAGCGACCTTTCATCACAAAGCCTCTATGTTTTTCAATGTACCGCAGCAGCAATACCCTATAATTGTCATATTTCCCATCAGCTATAAAGCAGTTTGCTGCTGAGCCAGCTTGCCCTGCTTCATAGCAATGTTCACAATATGGGGCTTTATGAGGGAGTTCATTTGGAACGTGAATTTATAATTACATCTCTCCTTTCTCTAATACTTGTAGAAAGAATTTGAATTTTTAAAGAAATTATCTCTCATCCCTAAAGTGAATGAGATATTTACTTTTCCAATATTGGAGTAATTAAAGCTATGCTATTCGCTAACTTGTGTTGCCAACTAATTCCATACCACGAATGTAGATTCTTAACTTTACTTTTTATAATTTATTTTTTAAGTTTCATTTTATATTCCTACCTCAATTCTCCCTCCCACTCCTCATCCTGCTGTCCCTTGTCTTCCCCTCCCTCAGCCCACCTGGGTAAACTGGGGATGAGGTAAAGGGGGGAGCGGGGACATGAGATTCTTAACTTTCAAAACAAGAAGCAATACAGGCATGGTGGAACATGTCTGCAATCCCTGCACTTCCTAGGCTGAGGCAGGAGTGTTGCTGTCAGTTAAAGGTCAGTCTAGTCTGTCTATGGTGAGTTCTAAACCATTCTGGGCTACATTATGAGACTCTGTCTCAAAAAGGGAAAAAAGTCCAAAAATCAACCAAACCAAAGCAGAGCAGAAGAATAAGGTATGGTTTGCTAATGGCTTTGCATGGCATTAAGATTCACTTACATGTTATAGTGCATTTGAGTCTATATGGGTTATAATTTCCCCCATTAACCTCAAGGCCTATATACAGGCATTTGATATAGCTCACTGAATAAGTGATCAGACCCAGAGCTTGTCACTATGTTCAACAGTGAATGTCACTTTGAGTGGGCAAACAGAGAGTCTCCAATCTCATTACCCGTCTCTACCTCTCCTTATATTGATAGGAACTTTATGACCTTCACTTAGTCCTCATTTCAAGAAAGGCTTGCTGATGAACCCAGAGAAAATAGAGCCATCCAGTCATTACCTAGCCATTGGCCTCACTTCCAGACTTTAGGAGCAGCCAGGTATCTTATTCCCTTTCTCTTAGTCTCCTGTGATTGGCATTTTGTAACACAGAGGGCATGTCCCTAAGTGGAAGAGAACCAATACATGGATACAAGGCAAATTCTGAAGTTGCCTTTTTCTGAACAGCTGCTACCTCCCTGCCCTTTCTTATTACTGTATAACCGATCATTTAAGGGTACCAAACACCTCAGAGGAGCACAGGACAGCTTACAATGGCAGTTGACATTGAAGAATTATACAGATAGCACCATTCTGATTTTTTAAAAAGACTCTCCAAGTTGAGAGTATTGCACAAATCTGTACTAACTCAAAACACAGAGGAATTTCAGACCAAATCTCTGCCTTTTCTCTGGGTTAAATTTTTAAAGAAAAAAATGTTGCCTTCATGGGGGGGCAGTCTACTTTATGAAGAAAATTTTAGGAAATAACTATAGCTGTTGCTGGTCTAGCACTTACTATGTGTCAGATACTATTCTAAGTGTTTTACAGGGCTAGATTAATTTCATCTGTGGCATGGGTGCCATTTTCATCACCATTCCTTCGTGTAGAAAGAGGGTAGACATATAAAATGACATGCTCAGAATCTCAGAGCAGTTAAGAGATAAACTGAGATTTGAAGCCAGGCTGTCTGACCTCAGATCTCTTAGTCCACAGCAAAACTGTGAGACCCCCACTGCCTAGGCAACAAGCATTATACCACGCGACTATTAATTCACTTACCGATTCTACCGTCCTCCATCATTTGGTTAGAACTTAAATCAACCAGTCCCCAAATCAATAAGACGCCCCATTCAGTCAATGAAGGCTTGTTCAGCTTACCTTATCCAGTCTTCTATGAAGATACACAGCATAAAGCACCGACCCAATCATCTGGGTGATGAGAAAAATAGTAAGTAAATACATAAAAATTTTCATGCTGACAGGCAGCCCAGTAGCCACGGCCCGGGGAGAAGGTTGGTTGTATGTTTCTATCATGCTGGGTTAAAGTTGAAACGGTGTCTTCTGATCAAGTAGGTGGCAGAAGCAGCATGAGAAGACTGTCAAAGTGGCCGCCTTACTCAGGATTAGTTAAGAGCGCACAATCGTCGCAACCCACACTTCCTGGAAAATGTGCTTCGTAGTCTTCTGTCCCAGCCCCCCCAAAAAATGTTACGTAAAGGTTTTTTCTTTCCTTTTCTTTCCTTTTTTTTTTTAATTACACATATATCATTCACTTCCAGGCTTTCCCTTTTGTTAGTAAAGAAGAAACAAGTTTCTTCTTCCATACATTCATTCTTGCCTTGAAATGTCACAGACTTCTTAAGAGACAATGGCAGTATTTTCCTATCACTGTCTAAATTTTGGGGTTCACCAGTTTCAAGGAAAGTGACAAATGAGTCCACTAGTAATAAACTTATTTCAATTTCAATCTTACTAATGTAATCTGGAACCTGGTATAAAGGGAAGGGACAGATATTAGGAAAAATATGGATTGATTTTGTGCCCAGTTGATTGTCTAAGCTCAATGAAATCTTTCTAGTTTTGTTAGTTCAAAATGCATCTCACAAAGCAAAAAAGGGCTCCCTGTTAAATACATTGTAATTGGAAAGACAATTTGAGAAAAATAATACCTTTTCTGAAAGGCAAAGCTAGCTACGGTGTTTGGGGAGATCATACAAAAACTCAGAGCAGGAAGCTAAAGGAGAATGGTTAGCCCAATTCAACCGCATTGCCAGTCTCCACAGTCCGTTCTGCTGTTTTGTGTCTAAGGATAAGAAAAATTAGCTTCAGCTGACAAATCTGGATTCTAGTCCTTGTTATACCAATAAATTACTACCGACCCACAGTAAATCACTTTGCTCCTCTAGATCTCAGTGTCCCCTGCACAAAGGACAGCTACTGGCCTTCCTTAGCTCTTAGCTTTAGGTGAAGATGGAATAAAAATGGGAATAAGAGAGACTGTTGAGGCATGTTATACAATATATAGTTATCCCTATTGTTTTTGTTGGTTGGTTGGTTGGTGTTGGTTGGTTGGTTTTAGATTTTAGAGACAGGGTTTCTCTGTGTGACAGCCCAGGCTGTCCTGGAACTCACTCTGTAGACCTGGCTGGTTTCAAACTCACAGAGATCCACCTGTCTCTGCCAATCGAGTGCTGGGATTAAAGGCGTGGACCACCACTACCGCCCTGCTCAGTTATCCCTGTTTTTAATGGTTTTCTTAGCTTAACAAATGAGTCTTCCAATTGATTACTTACTCTTTATATAATGGAAAAACCCAGTAACAATGGCTAAATGATGTTAGGTTGTGACACTGTGTGCAGGATTACATGTGTATGAGTGGCTATTATGATGTCACATCAGATAGCCTTCAAACTAAACAGCTATGGAAATCCCTCTCCCACATCCCAACTTCATGTAGAAACTATGATTAAATTGCTGTGGTGATTCCTACAAAATTGTTTTAAGAGACAAATAGGAAATAGTAACACTGCTCTGCTAGGCATGCTGTGGAGTTAGCACCTGCTGTCTTCCCCTCCCACGCCTCTGCATCCTGTCCTGGGCCCAGACCTGAGCAGGTTTTTACTCCATCTGCTAAAGAGGTAGCTTCAAAGCAAATGATAAGCTTTGATCAGTCAAGTCAGGGGCTTTGGTTCTTAGACAAGTGATCATACTTGGGCTCTCAAGGCTGTGTTGCAGGCCAACTTCACACAGTTATAGAATGCTCAATTTACAAAGGCCCCGTGAAGATCAGTTTGGCCCAGTCAAGCAAGCTCAAGAAAGTGGTTGCTACAAGGACCTTGGACTGGCAGTCAGGGTTTGTTTGTGTGATCAACTCCAGGAAAGAGTTATTTAGCCTTCCTGTTCCCACTTCTTGTCTCCAACCTCCTGAAGCCCAATCTTTGCCAACAACGTAACACTTAAACCACTCTTTTTGCTACTGGCTAAGTTACACATTTGTCTGAATACTTTTTTCGTCATTCACATTAGTGCATGTCCTGCTAGCCAGCCTCCTGATCTATTTTCTCCTGTTCTTCTTCTGAAAAGTCTCCACCCTTAAATTCTGTACCCCCATGACCCTTTATTCCATTTTATTGTCCAGATTTACTAAATCTAATTGGCTAATACAAACTATATAGATCCAGGTGTAAATGATGCTGTATGCATTGTGAAATGATTGATCTTGTTTTTAAGCAGTCATTTTACAGGCCATCTGTGGCATGTCCTGCTCACACTCCTAGTTTGAGGTTCTCTCCATTGTATCTACCAAATATAACTGTATTCCACTATTGGGGATTTATATGACTCAGCTAATATTACATGTTCTCCTTGCTCAAGTCACAGGCCACTCATGGATCTAAAGAGTTGCTTCCTCTTAGAATTATCTCTATTCTTCATGTCATCTTTTTGTTTCCCCTTATACAGCTTTAACCCCAGCATGCAGGAGGTAGAGGCAAGTGGACCTCTGGGAGTTTGAGGTCAGCCTGGTCTACAGAGTGAGTTCCAGGATAGCCAGGGCTGTTACATTGATAAACCCTGTCTCAAACAAACAAACAACACTTTGATTTTCTCTTTGTTTTCTGTCTTCCCTTTTCTTCTGCTTTCATCCTCTTCTTAAGTCTAAGTTGAAATTGGTCTTTTTCTGTCAGGCACTGGGCTCTCCATGCACCTAACTGTAGAGACTAGAGAATCATCAGTGAGTTCCTCCTCTGTCTTACCCTAGATGGCTGTCCAGCTCCAGTGGACTCCTTCCTCCACAAAGCTTCTTGAGTACCACTACTTCTCATCATGCCTCCTGTCAACAACCAAACCCAGGCCTTTACTCCTTCCTGTTCTTGGTTTACTAAACTGTAGCATCCCAAGTTGTCTACTGGTGTCCTTTCCTGCTCCACTCACCCACTTTCCACAATGTTAGATTATGTTGAAATCTTTTAAGTAACCATATTAGTCAACCTGATTGAACCTAAGACTTTGTTCTAAACTCAAGGAAGTACCATGGCATGTGCATTGGCATGTTTGAATGGCTCTAGTATGATGGACTTTTATTTAAATTCATTGAAACCCAATCAACCAATGAATCATCAATCAATCAATCAATCTTTTTCCTTTTCCTTGGTCCCCCTTCCTTCTCTTCTTCCCCTCCCCTGTTTTTCTTTTTTATTTCTTTCCTCCTTTCTTCCCTACTCTAGCCCCCAAGGGTTAGGGTTTTTGCTATTCAAGTGCTTTACACTGAGCTGTACTACCTGAACTTTCTCTTTTTCCTGTCCTTTTCAGAACAGTCCTTTTTGCACAATGCAACAATGACTAGCTTTCGAGTTTCCAAGATTCAGCTCTATTGTAATGTATGATTCTGAGGCAGAAGCCCTTCCTGTTGGAGCATCTAATACTGAAAGGGCTGGCTGTTGTGGTAGGCCCCACAGAAAAATCTTCAGCTAAGCCTAGGATGCTGAAACATTGTTGCAACCCTAGTTGTGGTAAAAGGATGGTGAGTTTGATACCATCCTGGCCTATGTAGACCCTTTCTAAACAAGCAAAAAAGATAATACCTAAAAGGAAAATAAAACTTTAAACTTCCTCTATCTTTAACTTTTTTTCCAGGAAATACGAGCATTTATGGCATGCAGGAAAATACCTGGAGCTTTAATTGAATGTTATTTTAGTTTGTAGAAAGAATTAAATCAATGATGTGAATCATCTCACTCTTTGGTTGTTCTGATACAAATTTGTGAGTCTCCTTCATATTTTGTGCTACCTTTTTTTTTTTTTTTTTTTTTTTTTTGCGACCTAGTAACTGATCTGTATCCAATCACTATAAAGGGGAAAATTCTTTCAATGTATTATACTTCAACAACTTGCTTTGGGTGTGAATAGACTTGTGGTTGTGATTTTATATTGATAATCTAGAACACAGTCATAATTTCTGCAAGGAAAATTACTTGCAGTGTATATGAAAGAGTTTAACTATATCAGTATTTTATTTGGTCTATGAAGGGTATCACAGAGACTTGTATTTTTTTTCCTAAATATGTCTGGAAGATTATCCATCAGACGATACTTTTTTATTTTCAGCACAAGAGATGAGCAAATTCCTGACCACATTTCCTTTCCTCATCTTGCACAACCCACTTATGCTCATGTCTGCTTATCATGCATATTAAGCTATTTTTGTTTCCTTTAACATGCTGTGCTTATACTATCGCCTGTGTATAGGCTGGTTCACTTGTCCCTTACCATTAACATTTGAAGTGAAATACCCCTCCCACAAGGTATCCTCATGTGTGTTTAATCTGTCACAATATGTTACATGGCATAATTGATTTATGTGACATCTCTGCCATTAGTGCTGGTACAGAATGTTTGTTTTTTTTTTTTTTTTTTTTTTTTTTTGTAATTTCAGAGTTTTTGACATCTGAAAAACTGGGCTAACAAGCATCTGTAACTCTAGTTTCAGGGAATCCAATTCCCTTTTCTGACCTTCTTGGGCATCAAGCATACATGTAGTACATATACATACATGCAGGCAGAAGACAAAACACTCCAACACAGTTTTTAAAAGGAAGAATGGAAGAAAATTGAGGAGGAGGGAAGAGGAGAAGGAGGAGGGAGAGGAAGAGAAGGATTGGCCAGTCATGCTGGTGATACAAGTCAGAATATATTTGTTTGGAAAATTATCCTCTCGTTCCTTTGGATTCAGTTCCATTTGCCTATTTTGTCCCTTATTTTTCATTGTTAGCTTTCCTAAAATGGCTAGTGAGTTTTAGCTGACTATCTACAGCCTTTGCTTGAAGGCCAGGTTTCATTATATAGTCATGACTGGCCTGAAACTCTGCCTCATGAGTGTTGGAACTTGTAGATATGTACTACCAAGCCCTGCTAGTGTTCTGGTCATATTTATGAATAGGAAACTGTGTTGATTTTTATGGATAGATGACATAGAATCCCTCCATAACTGAGTTGATCTGTTTCCTCTACATTCTCTGCAATGGAAACCCAGGCTGAGGCAACTGCTGAAGTGTGTAGGGTCTGTCAATAAGCCAGCTTCCCTTTAGGTTATATGGGTAGAAAGACAA